ATATTAGCGCTAGCGAAATATTTTTACATGAAAATTGTAGATCTCGTCGTCCTCTACAAAAAAGATCTGATGCAATTTTTCCACAAATCCAACGGTTTGGGAGTTATTGGCAAAAAACTAAAATTTCGCAAAATCTGAAGGGGGTACCCCTTGGAAAAATCTCGGAAAAATCGAAAATTTTTTTTTTGTTGTTTATTATTAGCAATGTTCTTCCGACGTCTGATTTCTTTTTAAAAAATGCGTTTCTAAAGTGTATAAACTTTTGGGATTGACTGTATAGCCAATACATCCTTAACTGATCGCAATGTATTCATGAACAAACGATACTCGAATCAGCCTTTATTTTTCGTGTCGATATGCCAGTCGAACGTGAAACACGAATGTCCATAACACCAAGGAGGCATCTCCTCGGTGTCCATAAGGTGATAGGTCGATGGTTTTACCGTTGGTATCTGATTGAGTACCTGTTTCACTGATGATAAAGCCGGTATTTCTCGCGGAATCGTATCGGCGAACGGAACTGTCACTTCGATCGATTATTCAACAAAGCGCCAGCGCCTTTGAACTTTGGAAACGCAAATTTTTCATTACAAGCACTTTGTACAATCTTTAAAATCATGCTATGCAAGACGTGGCTAATAAATAGATTGCGGATCTTTATAAACACATGTACTCATTTTTCACATCTTAAATATTTTTATCACATGCAGTTCTTTTATAAGTGCATCAAATTCGCAATCTTCTGATAAAGGAAAATTAATCAAATTCTTCATGCGCGCAAGATTTCTGGCGATCAAACGGATTGCACTAATAATGCCAGCCACTCGTCCTACGTTTCTTCGTCGTTCATTAGATTTTATAAAAAGTAAGGTCGGATCGAAATCAAAAGAAGGATTATCAAAAAGTAATTCGAGTCTTCCTGTTTGATTCTTCGTCATCACCGGTTCAGATAAGTCTCTAAAACGTTCTTACAATTTTCTCTGTATACGTACATATATCTCGGTATTTGTATATCTTATTTGCGACGCGTACGCATGCACAGAATGCGTGAAATAAGTCATTGATATTCTCTTGGATAGTTATTCAGATCTCGTATGACTCGATTATTGGCTTCTGGGTCATCGCCTTAATTATTTTTTAATAACGAGCAACTTGATATTCGATTCTTTCAGTGAATAAATGAAATAGTGTTAAACACATGGTCAGTGGTTCTTTACTATTAAAAAATGTACGATGACTTACGCAATTGGTCAAACTATAAAGTGACATACATAAATTCTTCCCCATACGAGGTAAATGAAAGATTCTAGAATATAATCATGGCTTTGCGAAAGACTTGATTCATCATTCAAATTACTTCACATTGTGCACGCGTCCACGCGAGTGTATATATAGTACATATATCTTCTCTAAATTCAATAACGAATATGTATATATTTATACTTTTATACATATAATATACGTGTATATATCAGAACTTTGGTTTTGTCTTCGGTCGACCAGTCGAATCAAAAATACTTGAGGAATACTCCCAGGGATACATTTGTCGACCTTCTAAATCAGGTCGTCCTCGAACAGCCCCTTCGTTACAAAGATTAAAGACAATTCACACCATCCAATCTTTCTAAACACATGAGCTGAGTTAATCATTTAAATAAATTGGCCGGTGTCAATACATTTTTTAATCCATGATCATTCCGTTGCGCCCAACCCTGTGTACGAGATTCTCCTTGTGCTGAATATAAGGATAAATTGCACTCGTAAAATCGTTAGAAAGTTGACAATAGGATGTTTCGTTAAAAACGTGTTAAAAAAGTTCCTCGCTTGAATCATCGCCCCGCTTCTCCGCTTTATCGACCAACCCAATGGTCGCACGATCTCTCCCTCACAGAATTGAGTATAATCTATCTCGAAGATAACGGGAGAGCAACAAGTTCAAACAGTTGTTTAGAATATCGAACAGATTTTGTTGTGCCTTGGTGTAATAGAAAATGACGACGGTTGCCACATAGGAAATATGTATTTCGCTTAATCTACCGTAGAAAGAAGAGAGGTCGATCGTTCCTGATCGATATTGCTTCTTGTTTATCGTGGCGCAACGGATTCAACATCGGTAGACTCTGTTAGTATCAACGAGTAGATATACACTGATGCTAACATCCACAAATATTTAGTCAGTTAATAAGATTGATTTTTCATGATCACGATGTTTTAAATTTTGTATAGTCGTTGATCCATAATTTGGTGTCTGGCTGTCCCGCAGTCAATGAATATTTGAAAATGACCAAATACTTATGGACTTAGTTTAGCGTATTTCAGACGACTCCTCGTGTCTCACTTCCATCGGGATACAATGAACGATTATTTGTGCGAGGTTTTGTCGTGGCACACGATATGAACCAGTCTCAAGTTCTTTGTCGTGAAAAGATTGTCATAGATTTCGAATAGGTCCGTCTCGTTAGTGTTGCCTTGCGCCGCCAGTTTTAAAAGCAGTGGCACCAAACTTCGGGATCTTTCGATTCTGTAAACAATAATAATTAATTTATTTTTATAATTGCAATCAATAAAATATTCATCATAATTTTATCCTGATATCTTCATCTAAAGATATTTATGAACGCTAAAAATAGAATTGATAAACTGATTCATACTTATGATCGAAATTCCATGTGGAGAACAGGATAAGCTCCTCCCTGGACCTGTACGGATTGATCCTGTGTTGGTCCCCGTAGGAGCATTTCTCTTCGTTCCAGATTCCGGCGCACCTAAATTCACCCATGGGATCGCATATCGCGTGCCTAGTCTCCTTCTCCGTTTTCCTAATCTTGTAGGGACACGTGTCCTCGGCTTCCTCCTCTTCGGTCTTCGAATCCATCATCGTGTTCCTCTCGTTCTTCTTCCTGATCCCATCCACACCATCGCAAGACTGTTCCGGTGTCCCGAACAACCGAAAGTACGCACTGTACTCAAACCATTTCAACCTGCAAGGACAGTGATCGTAGCAGGACGAGGAATCTAGTTCGTCACTGGCCTTTGCATCCTCGTTTTCGGCTCGACTCCTGTCGAAATAGTAACCGAAGTAATGGTCCTCTTTTAGCTGCATCTTGAAGAACGCTATTGCGTATAACAATTGTTTCCTGGCTCTAGGATCTTTAGAGAATATGTCTGAGGATTTGATTTGTTCGATGGTTTTGTACAGGTAGCCGCGTATCCTGTCTTGGCACCTACGGTGCAAGTACGCTTCCTGTAAAAGTATAATAATTGTGATCAATCATAATGAAAAATTGCTTTACAGAAGAATTGATTCAAATCGTACTGAAAATTGTTAAATCGAACGATTGTGTGAAATAAGAAAGTAATCTTGTATCTATCGATCACATCAGTTTAAAGTTTAAAGGGACACGCAACAAATGTGAGTGGGCAATCGAAATGGGTCAGGATATTGATATCGCGCTATTGTTCTATGTAATTGGCCTGTAATCAGCGCGGAACAGAGGCATTGTTTTGATGAAATCGCTAGTGGAATCGAACGTTATTGTGCAGGATAATACGCGATGCAAAACCCGGAGGGATCATTCGCCTAAGTCCACGCAATCGATCCAATTTGCGTTGATGAAACATCGATAATAAGCAGCAAAATTAATTATCATCTTAATTCCTTTCACACCCAACATTGAACGAAGGAACGGCGAAGGACGAAAAATCGAAGGTCGTAGAGAGGTAACATGAGACACGTATTTTATCAGGAAATCCGCGTTATGGAGGTCAGGATATTTGATCTTGACAGTGGATATACCAAGATTTGGAGATAGAGAATTTGTAGAGAGAACGATGTTACAAATTTATTTCTCTTTTTCCCGTGAACCCTATTTAGACTTATCCTTGTCGAAACAGGATAAGCAGGATCGGAAAGAGAGAATGCTCGAATAATGAAAAAGAGACAAAAAGCATTTGTGGTATTGATTTAAAAAATGCGTCAAATTCGCAGCATTCTAATTAATTATGGCAGTACAAAAATTGAATTCTATTCGGTATTTATCCTTGTCGAAACAGGATGAGGAAGCTCGGAAACAATGCGTTTGGTAAAAAAAAGCAAAGTCAGGCAAGCGTGTAGCGATAATGAACTAATTAATTATGGCGAGAGGGAATCCTTAAGCTAACGGGGCTCGGGATTTCGCGGCGGAACTCGACGCGGGATAAATGGCGAGCCGTCGGTATTAAAGTGGATGCGTTGTAACGTTAATTAACCCAAGCGATGTAGGGACGATGAAGGATAGACTCGCTCTTGTCCCATTCTATCGCCTCGACCTGCCTCTTATTAATATATTCTGCGGTAGCTTATTTCTTGATCGCATTCTTGCGGTTTATAGGGAAACAGTGAATATGCAAATTAATTCAATGACTTTATATTCAAATTAATGAATAATTAAAAAAAAAAGTATAATTGGTCATAATCAATAAACGATATCACCTAATGAATGTCGTTCGGAATATAAATAGAAATTGACAATTCCGTCCTTCTTATGAAGCGAACTTCCTTTCATCGATATTCACGACACCGTAACAATGTTATAAAAAAAAGTATGAACCCTTTGACGTAGAACAAAGCGTGAAAATGTATTTGAAGCTTACTTTGGTCGCGCAGTTCGTCTCCAGTCCACGGAACCATTCCGGATGTTCGTCCCTGCTCGAAAGCCGAGTCTTCGTGTCGTCTTTGTTCAACGTGTTATTTAGAACGGCGACCTTCGCTTTAAGATTTTCTGTGAGAAACTCGGACGCCTTCTCGCCGGCAGCTAGGAAATCGATGTTGACACGCCTCAACGTATCGTAAAGGAGGTCCGCGTCTGTAAGCAGAGATTTTATCAACTTTATCTCACATTTCAAAATGCGTATCCTCAGATTGTCCTCGAATCATTCCCTTAATTCATTTGCATGCTATAGTGCCAGCGGTAAACATTTCAACAAAGATCAATACTATATTTCATATAACCATCGACGTAATAACTGATACAATGTTTCATGTAATATTACTTGTATTATAAAATAATATACTTTAGATATATGCAAAATAAGTATTTCGATCTGCCTTTGAGGCATACTTTAAAGGGCAAGCTTTATGCGAGATTATAAAGAGGTGATCGAAAAATTTTTTTATAAATAAATTGAATCGTAATACTAACCGCTTAATACTTTTTCGCCAGGCTTCTGAAGAATAAGCGTCGTCTGTGGTTTCAACGTGGAGAAATACTCTTCCTCGTCGATTAACGATCCGTCAACCAGGTAGACGTTGATCTCGGCAAGGTCGTTCGTCACCTGAAGAATACGAACGATCTATCGGTACGAGTTCATTCGCTAGATTAGAGTTGCGTCATGGATCGTTCGTCATTGAAAATGATTTACGATTATGATCTCGGGTTATTCCCGGCTTGGTTCATTGCCCCTTCGAACGTCTAAATATATGCAGTAATAAAAATAGAAGAACCGTAATCACGGCTTCTAAAATGTCGATGAAAAGAATTATTGAATAGTAAAATCGATGACCACGGGAAGGAGTAAAATATTCTTGAACGTTCACAACAGTTTTTAACATAGTTGAAAACAACGCGTAACGTCCCAGTTTCTCGCGAAACAGCTGCACGATACTGGATTCGCGATGCGCGCACAATCAATCCTTTCTGAATCACAGTTTTGCACCAGTTTGTGAGGATCCGGAAGCTGACAAGGCACCACCGGGTGAGAGATCGAAGGATCTTGGCTGGAGGGTTGGTCCAGCAGACGTAAGACCTTGACATTGAGGCTGCTCCTTGTCCGTGGCCCGGCTGGTTCGATACAGCTGCACGCTGCAGGCGATCCGGATCCAAGGTCGACCCACAACCGGATTACCCACGAAACGTTGCCAAACGTGCGTGAACTTCAATCCTTTCTCCATGCCTTGGCTAACTCTCTTATTTTCATAACCGAATTCGAGTTTGATGCGCCAACGTGATGTAACGTTACGAAATTAAACGGTGAATCATTGTAATGAAACGCGATTCATTCCTTTTATCATATTAGCATTTCAATTTGTAAAGTTTAATAAAAGAGAAGAAACATAATTTCAGCAGTTCTCGATTGATTTGTTTGCAGAACTTTGACTTGTTGAACTCGAGGAGTCAATTGCTCCCGCCTGTAATTACTGAATCATCATTACCATGAATAATGATCATGAATTTTAAAATAAATGAAACGCTGCAAGGTACGGCAAATAAATAATGCAAGCTATTTCTTGTACCGAAGTGCACAAGCAGAATTCATCGGTGATTTCAAGATAAAATTGCACCTGCATTTTATTTGCCTTTCGGAAGGAATCTAAATAACGCGACAAATCCAATAAACCAATCCGAACCGAACGAGTTACTTCTTTCTTATTCAAAGCAATTTTACGAAAGCGAAACCAGGCTGATTTTAGAAAATGCGCCGATCTCGGCGTTACAATTTTTCACGATGCTATGGATCAGCTGCAAGGCTTTTATGACCCAGTTTCAGCCGGCAACTTTTATTATGACATGTAAAAAGCGTGGAACCGCGACACGGTTTTTATCCGAACAGAGAAAAATCATTCCGTTTCTCTTTCTCTCTTTCCCCTTTTGTTCGAATCGAATGACCAGTCGATTAAATAAACGCCCGGAGCGTTAATCGATGAGCACGTAGGCGTACTCACGTTTAATTTCGCGCACGCTTTCCGCTTCAATTCCTGTAGGCTCCTGCAGGCAACCCCGACTTTCCGCGTCCGATTCACGTCGGTCACCTTGTACCCTTTCAGCTAAAAAAAGAATCAGTAAAACCTCATAGAAAACAATATAACTCCTCGTTGATAGTTGAATTTGCGAAGAGTTTGGATACTCGTAGTAAAATTTATCATCAATTTATCACAAATTTATCACAAATAAAATATCCTAGCCGATTTCTATCTGTGACAATTAATTCCATGGAATACTAATCGTCGTCATTATCTCTAAACGGAAATTAACTTCCCGGCTATTGAACGAAGATTAAGCCGAGAAAGTTAATGAATTCGAGAGGGAATCCTCGAGGATTTGGCCGATGCCGGGGATCAAGGGATGGCGATCAGGACGCATAATTGGGCCGATCGCGAGCAAGGTCATGCGGGAACGGCCAACGCCGCATGGTGCAGGTTCTTCCAGTGACCCAGATCGGTGCCGTTTAATCGCGGTCACTCGGTAACGCATATCGCAAAACCGAGAGCCCGTAAACCGGAAGCTGACAGAAGCCCGTGTAAAATCATGATCCAAGTGTAAAACAATTCAAGCATTGTTTTTAGCCCATTCTCTTTGCACGAGGTAAATGCAAGAGAAAATGTTACAAAGGGTTAAAATTGCGTTCACAGAATTTGATCGCGTATGCACAGAGACAAAGTCTAGTTTCATTTCCTAATCCAATTTCAAAGGAATCGCGAAGTTGTAGCGTTTCAACGAGACGAGAAACCGCGAACTAATTTTGATCAAAGGAAAAAACGCAGCAATACTAATTCAATTTCCTTCGGTTTAAAAACAAGATTTTCCTTTGAAACGAACAGCAGTATTTTTGTCATTTCTTGCTTGTTTCTTATTGAAGTAGCTTTAACATGCAGACTGACTGACGCGTGCTTAGCATGCAGATACGATCTCCGGACGAGTGATTAATGGATGTTTGATCAGAGATAATCTAGACAATCATTTTGACAATCGATATTCGTTATCAGTGCACGTTGTACAAGAGAGTACAAGCGAATGTGTAGTTCTTGATAAACGTGGAGCAGCGTCGATTGAGAGAGAACGTCAACGTAGGAGCTATTTATTGCTGACAAAAGCTATTATCCACACGGTTGAAGCGGACTGAATAAAGCGGAGCGAGCGGGAGGACAAAAGCGGACAAGGAGATAACACAAGGAGATAACAGCTGATCGGAAAACCGGCTCTATTTCTACCGTTCTTTGTTTACCTCGTTTTTAGCCGGTGCGTCAGCGAGTCGACGGAAGCAGTTGACGATCAGCGACATGGTGTTCCCGAGTACCGGTTCGTCGGTATCGCGCAGAGACGCGGAGAGGAGATGGTAGCGAGCAGCTGGCAGTGACCGAGCTCTTCTTTCTTCGACCCTGGCAATGCCGCTGCGCTTATCGGGCAGTGGGAGCGGGAAACGAATGAAAAGAGGAAAGGAAGATAAGCCTTTTGCCCGCGCGTAAAGCCCGCGCCGCCTTCGGAGCACCGCGATGCGGTTCTCCCGGTCCAAGGGACAAAGGAAGGAGCGTTAGAGAGAGAGAGAAAAGAACGGTGGTCTACTGTCGATGGATCGCGGGAAAGGAATGACGTGACGCTCCCGACTCCCGACCCGACGCTCGAGCCGTGGCTGGAATGAGAGAATGCACCGGGAAATGCGCCTGCGAACTCCCAGCCAATTTTGCTCCGCTCCTTCGTGTAGATGCCGCCACGGCACGGAACCACGGTTAGACGTTTCTCCCTTCGCATTCACCAGAGAAATTAACATTTTTTTCTTAATACCGATGACCAAGGATCATTAGCCTCTTTGCATCGAGCGGAGTGCTCGCGTGTTCAGCATATTAATCACCGCGCATCGAATACGACATTCATGAAGATCTAATCAACTGTCAAATTAAAAAGAAAAATTACATTTCTCAAGACGTTTGCATTGTTTTTACTTGAATAACGTTTTATGCTTTCATCGCTGGATGAACGCTGTGCAAACTTTTCTACCCCGGAATAAGGAGAAACTGTCAACTTTAATAACGTCGCGAAAGGAGCAGCACAATTTGCAGTGCCGTCCTTAAGCAATTTACATAAGTTTGTTTAAACTCGTTATCCGAAGCAACAATGGTACTTCCTCAATTTTTCATTGCTTAATACAACGATTTATTTATCGCTCGATACTCGAGAGTCGTCCTCTTGAAACGCTTCATCCGGTTCCGAAGTATAGATATAGCGCGCTTAAGCGCTTGGACGTCGGCGTCCACGAATTGGGTTAACAACGGTGACTCCTTTTTTTTTCAGGACACAGTAGTGGTAGTAGGGACCCAATATAAATTCTCGCGTTACTGGATTTTTGTGAACGTTCATCGGATTACGTTTCTATGATCATTACTTACCGCGTTTAATAATTTTCCCAGACCGGCAGTCGTTCGTGCGCAGATATCCAGTAATATTAATGTTGACATTTTATCCGCAACCGGTTACTTCATCGCTTATGAAATGACGAAGTTTGCGATCGTACGCACGGCCAGGTTCGTTTATTTATCCGTCATTTTCTTATTCCGCTTTCGTTCATTGTCACGCACCGACGGGAAATCGGGTCGAGTTTCGCTATTGAAAACTTTCAATTATTGTTCCCTCGCAGACCCGTGTTAATTACACCCCCGACGGCCTAACCTTGCCGCCACTTTTCAAGGCTGTCGGCGCTATTCCACTTTCACTGCCAGGTGCGCTTAGCGCAAGCAGTACACCACCCGACCCGCGTTTGGCGGTCGCTCAGACTTGCCCCAAATATTTCCACGGTTCATAGAAAGAAATATTTTCCTTAGAAACTCTGCTCGAGTGTCGCAGCGAACTTTTTGTTCGAAATATTCGCACGGTCGCATAAAACAATTTTCATGAAAATTTTGATAGTCGCGTTCAACTCGGGATAAAGGATGAGTCTTGAACACGGAATTTCTGTGAAGGATAACTTGGACATTCTAAGCGAAGGACAGCAGTACGCTTACGTTTCGAACTTTTCTGCATCTGTATGAACATAAGGAAATATAAATGGAATTAGCATTAATTAATAAACGATGACCGATTTGATATGCAAAATTGAAACCGCTACATTTTCCACATTGTATTTTCTTCCACGTTCAGACTCGACGACAGTTCTTCGTATCGAGAGCGTACGCGCCTTTCGCTTTGGATAATTAGAAATTTTCTTATCCTCCTCGATTATCTACGGTATTCTGTTTGTTCGTGGAACGTGAAACAATGTGCACGAGTTTACACAAGTTAAATGAAATCGAAATTAACGTGCTCGCGTCATGTACTACAAGCGAGCACTTGTCCGCATTTAATGATAATGCCCAGAGTTTTTCTTTCTTCGCACGCATCTCTTGTCGCACGTAACAGTAATCGTTCAGTAACGCCGCTGGATAACATGAATTATAGCAGTGTATACGGTAAGGTATGTCGCAATTTGACACGCTTCAGAACCTGAACCGCGCGGCTACATACTCGCCTTAAATATTCTTAACATGTTTGTTTTAATCCCTACGCACGTGTTTCAATCAACTCTGATAAACTTTCGCTTTTCATGAATATCTCCGACCGATTGAACCTTTCATTGTGAATGTGCGTGACGTCTGATGATATTTAATAATCGATTCCACGAAACATTTTTCTCCTAACGTGACGTATTTCTAGCGATGAAAATCCAATCGGTTATCAGAAAACGATGTTTGATCTTGGAGAATGGAATCAGGTTGGTAACGATAAAAATATAAAGAACAATGTAACAATATTTATGATATTCATATAAAAATAAGACTGTCGTCAGTCTTCGCCAAAAAACTCACGATCCGGAATTAAACGGATCTGCGAAAACATTTTTTTGCAGACATAAAATTTATAACATGCATTATCGCGGGCAATCAGGACTTACACACGCAATAAAAGCTGAAAAGGCCTTCGCGAGGAAGGACTCTACGAATTTTCAAACAAATACGTTGAGTTGATGAATACATATAAGACCCTCAATTCATCCAAACTGTATACAATTAACAGAGGATACCAGTAGAAAGTAATCACTGATATTTCACATCGTTTTCAAAATCTGTCGATGGTTCCCAATGAATCTTCCGTGAATAATTATCGAAAATATTTTTCTATCCAGGTAGAGAAGCCACAGACATTATCAATGTCCTTGAGCCTTCCTTTGTCCTCTCTCCACAATTGCACGGTTCATGTCTTCTTTTTGGGATATCTCGCGCCATTTCAAAGATGCAGCTTCATTGAGCGCTCGAGGGTGTATTAATCATGCTGGCGCGACGGGATGTTCATTAGCACCAATGAGTCCTGGTATATTCGACACGAATCTTCCCAATACAAACCTAAATATAATAGACACGCATTAATTCACAAGTATAAAAAAGTTTTTCATAAACAATTTTTTGTTGTCGCATAATTCTATGCAATTCGTCAAGAATTTCTCTAAGTGTACAGGTACGAAGGTAATTCGATTTAAAAATCACCTTGTGTTTGATTCATTAATGATGCCAAGCCATACGATCAGATATCATTAGGATAAAGCAAGAGGTGGTTAACGACGATCCTCGCAATTGTATTCTGATCATCTTCTATCTAATCATACTTACCACCAAATCGTCGAGTTCTGAACCCGTGAATCGACATTCTCGAAGCGTGGCACATATACTAAGGCCTCGACGTTATTTGTCTTTGCGTCCACCGATAAATCTTTCGCAAAGCTGCGCTAGCATCGATTAGAAGACAAACCAAACGGGCTTTAGTGTTATTCCGTGTCCGACTAAGATTTTTGCAAAGCAAATCCATTATCCGACTTGTAGGCGTTAATCAAATCTTTGCTTAATTTTCGGTGATGCGACGACGTTACGATTGAGTTCAGAAAAGTCTTTATAGTGTGTCTCCTTGACATTTCCAAGCCACTTTCTTCTCTGGTACCATTATGGAAGATAATTCTGTTTACATAGCTGATGAAACAAAAACATGAGTAAGTAGCCGCTACTCATTCCATTGCATCTTCTACTCTTAAATCACCCGAAAGGGCGATGAATTCATTTTTTGATGAGTCAAAATTTTTACGGGAGATCAAGATTCAAAATGTAAATTTTATATTCCAAGGTCTATCTATAAAACGCGTTACGCAAGTTCAGTCGGGATGCAGACGCGTTATATAATATTTTAACAAAAACGTTTCAACAAGTTTCTCTACTATTGATGAATGTTTGACGACAAATTTACAATGCACAATTCCAATAGTAGTGAATACGAAAGTTGGATGACTTTGCGATCTCAGAAGTTCAAGCGTACAGAAGTATAGTTTAGTAAACTCAGTCGAGTAAATTAGAAGCTTAAGTGTGATCGAGTTAATTGATCATTAGTTGTACTAAAGAAATCACTTATAAAATATGAATAGCTTTCATTTGTAGTTCATGTCGTTTAATTATCGTATTAATTTCTTTCGCTATAAACATGAAAAACTATTCTCGTAAAAAATATTAAGATCGAGTAGAGTAATGTTTGACGTCAATGTCTTTTCCGCTTGCACATCATTAATTTCATATTTGGCTTTCTGTACGAGCTAACAATGTTAGGTGACCATAAATTTCACACAAATTTTTTTTAAATATTAGACATTACATAATTCTACAATTTTATTCTCGTTAATAACGTGACTCGTATGAAACGTTTCTCGACGATCACTACCTGCTGCATATAAATACAATGAAAGTTATTCTATTTATATTATCATTTTTTCGTCTAATATACATCCATAATTTACGGTGAGATGGACGCGAGACAGAAGCGCACGCTTCCGTGCGCTGCGTTTCACACGCGGATGACTACCACGACAATAAATAACTTATTCCCGTGGACAAAAATATTACGCTTATAATTAACGATAACAGGATCCTTCGTTACAGTCAATCAAACGTCTACAAACGACCCTGTCTCACACCGTGATAAAAATCTACGGTTCACTCATCACGTATCGTGCAGATAAGTTCATAATTTGCTCGAAAAGAACGTGGTATATTAAAACAAAGGAAATAGAAAAAATTAATACTCACATGACCCTAGGTTTAAATATTGCACGAATATATTAGAATGCAATTTAAACTTATTATTTGACGGCGCGCAATACCGCGGCCGATCAAATTAAAAATGTTTCGCGAGTCGAATGACGAGTAACGACATCCACGTTAGACGTTCAACTATCAGATTTACAGGTGTGGCGCAAACGGGTAAACCGCAGTCGACTACTTCAATTTAATGGTTCAACGGAACCACGTATGTCACGAATAAAGTGAAAATTTACTTTGCGAAATTCGCTCTATGATTTAATCAGTCGAGTACTTTAGAACATATTAAGCTAAATCTTCAGTGCGTTCGGAAAAACGAAAACCATAAATTGATTTACCTGCATACTCATGCTACTAGGGAAAACTAGATACTCATTTGCATGATGATACGGCAAAACGTTCGGTCAATATTGATCGATTTCTAAAAGTGAAATATTCAAACATTTTTTACACCTGTTAATCTTAACATAAATTCGTTTCTGCGATGAGTAACGCACAATAATCTGTGTGTTAGAGATCAGTGGCCTAGCAAAATTGCGAAATGTGGTTAATGAAAATGTTATAAATAACCATCATAGAACGAAATATGTATGTCGGTCAACTTATTATTCGAATATGAAAACAATCATACATTTCATCGGCAATAAACTCTTCCACTGTCCCCTCACAGGGGTAAAACGAGATCGCGGAGGTGGCAACGACCGTGAAATGCATGGAAAACTGTGACGTAAGCGGGGAGCAGAGTAAGAAATCGGTAGGTCGCGTAGTTGAAAAATCGTGTGCAAAAACTGAATCGCGGCGGTTTCCATCGTAATCGCGAGAACCAGCCAGAATGGAAGGGATATAAGACTACGACCGTATAGGTTCGCGTTGTCAGACCGAACGAGGATATCGCTCGTAGCCGCGGCTAAAGGGAGAGAGAACCTTGGCATCGGCGTTGGTGTTCTCATCAGTGGTGTGTGCCAGGAGAGACGGACCGAATAGCCGACAGTAGTTTCCTCGCAGTGATCTCCAGACCACGATTGATCTTCCTCAGAAACACACCACACCGTGTGCCCTGGATCCTGCCTCTAGATTCCTGCGAGCTACTTTTTGTTTTTATTAAAAAACAACGGAATTCGAGGGTGAGATTCTGAGGGGGTGGTCTCTGGAGCAAGAAGTGGTCGCGGTTTCTCGCTGTTTTTCCTTTCTTCGGGATTTACACTTTCATCGGTTCTTTTTTGTACCTGCATTCGCAACAGGTGAGTGCAACTTCACTTTCATCCGCGTGATAGAATCAGAATCGCTCCACTTCATCGATTCAATAGCATCGTTGAATAGACACAGGCAAATCGTTAGACATTCGAATTTGCTGTTTCTTTCTTTTTCTCTTTTGGAAGGTAAACGTCGCGTTACTGTGTCAATGTGCATCCGATACAATGACTGTTTTCCGAGTTTGACCAAATAAATTATACGAACGCACATTCGCATTAGACCTATTGCGAAAAGAAGCGATTACATGCGAAAGGTGAATACGAAACCGCCTCATACGCAGCGTCTTGTTCGACCTAATGCTCCTTCTTGGTCGAGGGAAGTATAAGATAACCGTGGATAATGAATTTTGCAACGATGTTATATACCTCCTGTCGTCGGTTATTGTTTCGAAACTGCAGACACGTCTTAACTGAACATTTTATATGGTAGACAATCGAATGTCTGTTCCCGTTTGAAAAAAACGAGGGAAAATTCTTTGGCACAAATGTGTTATGCAATTAGGATTCAAAGTTTATTAAAAATTGAAACATGATCGTTATAAACACGTTTACTGATTAATTATATTCCCACCGATTGCGGCACAAGTTTATTTTAATTTTAGTCTTCGACCAGTTTATTGCCCAATCGTCTGCTTTCGATTCTCCGCATTCTCTGTCGATGAATGAAACCTCTTTTTATTTTAGTCGAATCGATTACCTTCCTTGTTATAAATTATCCTTGACAGGTGCAATCGCAATTTTTTCTACTTTATAACTGAAAAGAAGCTTTCACTAACTCTTTTGTTGCAAAATAATTCTCGAGTGCCTAACACCATTCCAAAGTGATAAACGCCTCGTTGTTTGCCGAACAATTGACCGGACAGAGTAGGCGGGATAACATTCACAAATATCATCGTTACAAAGTAGTTAACCGTCTACTTATTGCAAACTCGAACTCTCGTTGGTTCAAAACGTAACCCGGGCGCTGGCGCAGGTCACGTTTTCACCGGTTCAACCACACTCGAACTGTTAATTAATCTTTTCCAGTAACAATCTTCCACGAACGATGACGCCCAGAAAATGTAAAGAATATCGCAACAGGCAATTGTGACTTTTCATTTGCAAATGAGTTTGTTCAATGTACTCTTCGATGACGAAGTTTATTTACTTAAAAGGTGCAATGTTTGCTTGATCGTGGCCAAATTGATCGTTAAGCACAATTTCCATACTGATGTTGAAGGAAAAAAAGGAAATACACATATGGGGCGTACGCAATAGATAACTATCCAGTTGCACAAAAAATGAAAAAAACCCACGTCCGGTCTGTGGATTTTATATTGGCAGGGAAATATCTAACCGGGATTTCAACTATGTACACTTATAATAAGATTTCAACTCGTGGTCTATCGTTTCATGCACGAAAGAAATGACGACGATATTTTGATTGCTTCTCAATGACGTCTGACTATAATTTGGCAAGTCTTGTCATTTAGAACTCGACGGTTGCTTTCTCGTATCAGGTACGATATCGAAATGTTCATTGATCGTTTTCATCCTAGTGAACGCGTAGAATTTAATAGTAGATAAGATTTCCATTTATAATCAATAAAAAAATGAATACATAGCGGTTAATTAAGCGTGTAATATTGAACTATATTAATTTGGAAAGGTTAATTCGATTCAAATAAGTTCTCTTGAAATACCAATGACCGAACTGCGAAGTGAGAGCGTCAAACTTCGAAAGTATGAAGGACGAAATATCTCGCTTTTTTAAGAATCATCGCTACTTTATGGATCAATAAATACGTCGTACGTCGAAATTGGTTTCAAGGTGGAATACTGTTCGAGTGGGAAGAAAGGACTTCCTGCTTCTCAGAATAAATGTTATGGTGATCGAACTCGTTCTGCGCGTTTTCTTAATTAGGCACACCTATAAACAGCCACCCTCATGTTACATTAATGAACGATCTACTCGATGCAAAAAGTGCCAATGTCACATTCATACAAAACAATTTGAAGAATATGTATTTTTCAACCGAAACTTTTCTTCTTCCAAACTATTTTCCTGTATGATTCTAAACAAGACATCCTTAAGTTAAGTTGCGTTAAGCAACCTAGATCTGTCTAATACCCTTTCCTTGGTGATGGCGCGACGCGGCGCCCGATCAGTGTCCGCGATACGTTCAACTACTTAGGAACAATGTAACTTACAGTTAATACCTTGAACTCTGACGCGGCACAAATTATCTCTAAGTTGAATTTCTGGTTTAGCCTATTTCAGATTCAAACCAGTTCCGATTTTACGTCAACCGATATGGTCTCGTTTCGTTGTTGATTTATTGAATATCTTGTTTTATCAAAAGATATAATTACGACAAATAAGTTGAAATATTTCGATTAAATTAGTTGAAAATAAACACTTTGTTCCTTGTACAATTTCTTATATTATACTGATCGCAGTTGGCTATGTAAACGGCAATAGATGCATGTGTCACACTCTTAATTACCGTTTACGAAACGATTTCCGTTTCAAACTTGCGAGTCCACTGATATTCTGACAACGTTCCATCACTGAATTATCCGTAATGCTAGATATACAAACGAAAATATTATTCAGAGACGTGAAACGTGCTTATGTGTTCACATAATTACGAATTCGAAGATATCGATTATGGGTACCATAATATAGAGTTTGGAGAGAGAGAGAGTGAGAGTGAGAGTGAGGTGGAACAGGGGAACAAGTCGTCAGGGATTTTCAACGACGAGGGCAACGTTCTCGCGAGGTGAATCCCTGAACGGGTTTTGGCACGATGAAAGAAACAGGGCTAGCCGGTTGTTAGTACTGAAATCGCTGAGTTAGGGTAAAGGGACACAGAAAAAACAGCGGATCGTTAACAATCCCGTTCACCTTGGCTCTCGACTAGCATTCACCTGGCGAGGTACCTATTTTCTGCTCGGTTTGCTTACTGTCGAACCGAGCTGCATCCCTCATTCGTTAGCCATCGTTTCGTGGAAATATCAGCAAAAAAAGAAACAAAAGTATCTAAGAAGACAAAAGAACGAGCATTTATAAGTTCGCTCTCACTGCTTTCCTGCTTTCTTTGACAGAGCAAACGCTACTTCGTGGCGAAGCGTTTTCGATCATGCAGAATCTCGATTATAAGATATTTGTGTGGAATGAAATTGTTGACAAATTAGGTCAAACAAGTAATATGAATTTTCAAACGATATTAAGTAATTTGCAATTATCCTTGCCATGATACAAATTACACCTAATTTTGAAATCCAAAATTTTAAACAGAATGGATCTCATGAAAATGAATTGCAATTTTCTCTCTATCTATAATTGAAACTTAATGCATATTTAAAAAATTCTGGTGAAACAATAAGAACTGACGTATGTCTACGAAATCGAGCCACGTTTGCACGGACACATATCTCCAAACGGAAGGAATCGAATGAGCCAAAGAAGGAATTGTCTACTTCTCACGAAGTTGGACCTTGTCCGGTGTCCTTAAACTTTGGACAATTTTTTCTGCGTCTAAATCGATCGTGAATACCAGATTTCGTTCAACGATATCCACTGAGTCATTATAAGTCAATCGTCTCGGCTAATTATTATCTCCTGGCCGGGGATCAGACGACGACTGTAAGTTTATGTTCGCTGGTGAAACGCAGCATAAAAAACTTGCTTTCCGTTATTAAGAATTGAAAAATATAATTACCGTGGCATGATTCGTACCTGTCAAACGATCGTGCGAGATTTGCATTATAAAAAAAAAAAAAATAGTGCAACATCCCACGGTTGATTGCACTCCTGGTAATTGTTCAGGGTGCAATTAGAAGATGGAGATAACTTCGAGTGCCTTCATTCCGCGTAGCTAATTCCGAGATAAGCCGACATAATTCAGGCAATACAGTTTCCAGTAGATTTGCATATTTCCCTTTCGCTTCGTCCTCAAAGCGCAGAAAGCCTTCGCGACAATTATCATTATTATTGTTATCTCAGAGCGAAAGAATTTATCCTCGCTGGGCAGATTTGTCGATGATAATAATTGATGAACGCATTCTGATGGACACCAGGGACGATCGATCGATTAGGCAACGATTCCTAAGACATTGGTGGCGGAATTCCAATAAATCACTATATCATCAAGCTACCGAGCCATACCGATTATTGCTTTACTGTAATTCGCGTTATTTATCGCCGGCTTCGCGCCTAGCAAGGATAACCGGATTAAATTGAAAGTTGTCCTTTTCTCTTTTCAGACCCGTTCATTAGAAACCAGGAAACATGTCGGGGATCGTCGAGTGGTACAAAGATATTATGTACAATAAAAATGGTAAGACACGTCTCTAAATATAATCCAGATGGACGAAGCATGCAAAGTTTCAATGTCCAAAGTACTAATATTATTGCATTGGTCAAAGACTGTTCGCTGAACGAGTTTCATTTCCGATTACAGATCCGAGAACGAGCGACTGGTTTTTGGTATCGAGTCCAGGCTCGTTGCTAGTGATCCTCGTCAGTTACGTTTACTTCTGTACGTCAGCTGGGCCAAGGTACATGAAGGACAAGAAACCGTACGAACTTAGAAATCTCATGATCGTTTACAACTTTGTACAAGTGGTGTTGAGCTGTTACCTCTTCTACGAGGGTTTGATGAGCGGTTGGCTGTTCGACTACAATCTCAAATGTCAGCCAGTCGATTACTCGGATAATCCACAGGCTATAAGGGTGCGTAGTAAATTTCAATTGAAAATACTTCGCAAATGATCGAGAAATCAGAACTGTATTGTAACTTGCAGATGGCGAACGGAGTGCACTTCTATTTTGTCTGCAAGCTGATTGAGTTGTTAGACACCGTGTTCTTCGTTCTCCGTAAAAAGAATCGACAGATTTCAACGCTGCACGTGTTTCATCACACGCTGATGCCGATTTGCGCGTGGATCGGTGTCAGATGGCTGCCCAACGGCCACGGAACCTTCTTAGGTGTCATCAACGCGTTCGTCCACATCATCATGTACACTTATTACATGTTGTCCTCGATAGGGCCGTTCATGAACAAGTACCTTTGGTGGAAGAGGTACTTGACGGTATTGCAGCTGGTCCAGTTCTGCATGATCTTCGTCCACAGCACTCAAATCTTATTCAACGGCTGCAATTTCCCAAAATCGTTATCGTTCCTGCTGTCGTTGAACGCGATCATCTTCATCTACATGTTCAGCTCGTTCTATGTCGAGAATTACTTGAAAAACAAGAGAAAGAACGAGGCCAACGGGACGATAAAGGGCAAAGCGGAATGAGCTGATCATAAAATTTGTTCCCTGCTCGTTTCTTCTTTATTACGAAGGAACATACGCGTTTCGTTAGGCGGTTCTTTACCCGCTTCGAACGATCGCGTTCTTGTTAAATAGCTCTCCACAGACGAGACGGATTCGGTGGAATCTTTATTGTCGATTTTTCACCTTTTAGTCATTTCTATTATACTTTCTTTCGTTCGCTTTGTCCGTACTGAAGAATTCGAATCTCGTGCGCGCGTCAAGCTGGCGCCACCACGTTTGGATCAGAAAATCGGTAACGTCGTAGGCCCAACGCGTCGATAATAGAGATATCGTTCAATCACACATAAAAATTCTTAACGAATCGACAATAATGTTCGTAATTGTTCCGTGATAACGTGTTATGCAGTTCCCATTTGTTTTATACCAGTGCACGTAATACGTTTAGGTGTCGCGCGAAAAATCGACGTTTCTTCGAGTAATTCGAAAGGCGCGTCTCCGGCTAAGTACCATCGCGGACAAGCTAAAAAATCATTAGACATCGATAGTAAATAGCGTAATGTTTTCACATTTCTCGCATTATCTCGTAGAAGTGTTATTGCGCAAGAGCAAATCCACAATAGAGTACAAATTCATTTCGACTAGAAAGTAATTTCATGTAACAAGAGAGGAGAATTATATTTATGCTAGAATAATTTTTTGGATACTTGACTCGTTTATTTAGGATTCGAACAAACTTCATTATACACAGGTAAATTGTGTTGTCGTATGTATACTCATACGGTGGAATGAGGAAGGATTGTACAGTAGCTGAGAAGAATACTCGAGCATTACCAATAACTGACAAAGAGATATTTTTTCAACTACTGTATTTCGATTTGTAAAATTTGAAATTAATTTTCAACAGCAGTATCTTAAATAAAGATCTAACAAAATCAAAAATTCAATCTCCCACGTTTATTTTTCTTTAGTTTTAATAGATCGTCATTGATGATGGAAAGTAAGTAGATTGCGTACATAAAAGGCCAGCGGATCGTCGATTATACATACGATGGTCAACGTTCTGTTGTCGCTTAAGGGTCACGACCGTGAGACCCACAGGACCTCTTCATCCGTTTACTGTTCAATATACCATAATTTCTATACCAATAGAAATGATCTGTACAATTATGAACCAAGATAACATCAGGTCCTAACAATTTGGACGAACGAATTAAAAGTTCCCGGGAGTATCGGAAATACTTCAAAGCCTTTTCTACAGTCAAGTGGTCATTCACAGCAGATCAAGGTCGCATTCTTCGTTTAATCGATTACCAAATAAAACAAGTCGAAACAATGAATTTTCATTGACCCAAGGCTGTATAAAATTTATTAAATTAACATTTCTGTCAATACTCTTTCAATTTACTAAACATTGAACTCTTTCTTTAAACCCAAAGGTAAGTATACGAAACGTAGCGAAAATAGTTGAGAAATCGGAATTTGTAATATGTATTAAATACCTAAGATGTGGAAAGTGTTACAAAATCACATGAGCTTCTGCATATTACATTCCGGATATCTGACGCAATTCCGGTAACTCAGTGTTCCATTTATTGGATGCAACATTCCATCGGGGAACAATTATGCTGATTGCATGTGCGAAATAATTAAAAGCGTATTCACTTTTTTCATTTTCGTAATAAAGAAAGAGACATCCAACAGAATTATCACGCAGTCATCGTTCGGACGTCATTAGTGTTTTAAATGGATTTAAACATAAGTTGGATTTCAAAAATTGTCATCAAGATTCTCAATAATTAATTATTACAATTACTTCTTTTTGTATCAATTTCGTCCATCGTATCATTTACTTAAAACACATTGATCTTGGTATCGTTCAACCTTGGAGGAGGTCGTACACCTATACACCTATAAAGAATGTCGAAGAAAGCTATTTTCAATCAAATACAGTGTCTTCGCGGTCGCTTAGCCTCGTCTTTAATTAATCGTTGGTTAATTATAATACAATGGCGAACGATCGTAATGGAGTATATTTTTCCTAAACAGTCAGTCCAAATCGATTTTTCTTGGGGATCGGTCGTGTTTAGTACAGTGACAACTACGTCTATCGATCGATCTCTACCAAGACGTAGATCTCTATCAATCGTCGAACTTCCATTTTTTATTATATAAAAAGAAATATAGGAGAGAATTTGTGAAGTACAATTTCGGTAGCTGAAATTTTTCTATAGTTACCGAGAATTATTAAAATTGTATGAAGTGAAAAGCTGTAGAAGTACAGTGCCACTATGACAACGTTGATACGTCAAATTTATCAAGGATACTGCTACGTTAACGATGAATTATCAGGTAGAGCATCTGTGAAAGTGACTTGCAACTTCAAACATATTCCCGATTATCGAATATTATATATATTATTTATGGCATGGGTTTTTCTAATACTGTCACGTATAGATTCAAGTATAATGAAAAATTTATATTTCATAAGATCCACGGACGCAGGATTTATTCCTGATCAGTTCGCCATGGGCCCTTGTAGGTATAATAACGTTTTATCTCTACTTCGTCTTCGATTTGGGACCTAATTGGATGGCGAGAAAGAAACCTCTCAATTTAGACAAGATCGTCCAGTTGTATGACTTACTACAAATAATAGTGTGCACATACTTGTTATATAAGGTAAACAAAAAATTTTCATAGAAGACGAACGCTTTATTCAATAAATTAAATTTATAATTATAGGCACTGACCCTGGCTTGGCTGAACGATTACAGTTTCTACTGTCAACCAGTGGACTATTCATACGACCCGCGTGCCGTCGAGGTAAATGAATCAAGCATAAATAATCAGAAATTATTGGTCGAATTACTTCACGTATTCACGATCAAATAAATGTTCAAATCCTATTAAACGAAGGCGTTGATTAGGCTAAAGGAAATCTAGGAAAACGGATGCTTTGTTCACAGATATCTAAGTTAGTGTGGGTATATTTTATGGTGAAAGTGTTCGACCTATTCGACACAATATTTTTCGTTCTTCGGAAAAAACAGGGACAAATATCGTTCCTTCACGTATACCACCACGTAGGCATGACTTTGGGTTCCTGGATAGCGGCTAAATTCTTTCCTGGTGGTCAAGTCACCTTCATAGGTAAATCTTCGATTCATGCATATAGCATGCATAATTTTATTACAATGCATGTATAATGTATGCTCATCATGAAATCAATTGATGCAGGTACGATAAACTCGTTCGTTCACATCGTGATGTACACTCACTACTTGGCCACCTCGTTGAAAATATCGAAACCCTGGTGGAAGAAGTACATAACGCAGCTTCAGCTAACGCAATTCTGTCTGATACTGCTCCAATTCATATTTCTAATTAGTACTGACTGCAATTTCCCCAAGTGGACAGCGGCCGCGATGATCCCACAGAATTTGTTCATGATAATGATGTTTGGCGAATTCTACTACAAGACCTACATCAAGAAACGAAAGAGTAACACGGATGCATCACCTCGAGATGTTCCAAACGGGAGCTTAAAGAGCCAGTAAACATCATCGAACTTCGTTTCACCGCATTCTTCACTGTCCACTCCTCATTCTTTGCTAGAGTATCCGTGAAGCTTCATTGCACTTCAATTCGTTAAATTAACTTATTTACTCACGTACGGATCAAAAAGAAAAGATGCAAATAAGTAATATCTAATTGCTAAATATTCTTTGATCGATGTCGTGAGTTTTTTCCCGTCAACAGTGATTGCAATAAGCCTAGATCGGCTCGATAAGTACTCTCATAATTGGAATTAATAAATAGAAACGGCGTTAATGATTCCCAATTTTCTGTCCTTCAATATAAAATGTCAATAGATAATAAGTGCTTCCTTTTTTTAATTTTTTCGGCTTAATAATAATTCTATCTCGTTTAACTTAATTTGATGAATACACTTATTGTAACTGAAAATAATAAATATGATGGACGCAAATGATCCTGGTTTGTTGTCTTCCTAAATTATTTGTCATGTACCATAAATTCCGAATCTCGTGACACCCTAACCCATTTTAAGACCGATGAAAAACGAAAGCGGGCCTGTTCGAAAAAGCCGACCTACTTGCTGGACCTGGGCGAGAGGTAAAAGTGCGTCGGAGAGAGATATGAAAAAAGCAAGGATACCGTTGAACAAACGGCAAGTGCCGTTATATACCGGGGCTGGGCCATGCCTAAAAGTGACCATGGAATTTCATTTTCCCTCCCCCGACCTCGAAATCTTAACAAATTGCACGTACGTACATCCTCGGTTGCATAACGTACAGATTCCGCGATACACCCTTGAGAAAACGCACTCCCATTGATAGCGAAGCTGACACGCAAGGACGGACATAATCATTTGTTACATGCGATATATGGGTCTTTAGAAAGTGTGCGAGTTCCGTTACGATTCCATCCGCATGATCTATGATATACAATCTTGATGATTTCTAGGACGCATTAACTCCTTCAAAATGAACATCTCTTTTATGAATCCATGTCTACTTCCGAGAGATACACCACGTTACTTTTTTTTTCTTTATTATGTAATAGCTTTTTACAAGGAACTCGACGCAAATTGTAATATGCATTTGAAAGCTTGTTGACAAACCGGAATCTATTCAGCGTCGAGTAGAAAATAATTAACGAAGGGCAAAGTTAAGAGTTACCTACCCATGTTGCAGCGGTGCAATTGTTACAAAAAATTCAGTGGATTTTTGTATCGCGCGTTCCTACGAAATTGGCGACGTTAATTTGCAAAACCTGAGCCCATTCCGACCTCGTTTCGCAGGAGTTCTTATGTATTCCGTACCGTCCCATTGGCTTACTTCGTCGCTGCGTTAGAAAGCCTCTTCAAGAAGCTCGTAACGAGTTTCCCCTTGCAAGGATCTGGTAAACTGCGTCCGTGCCATTAATCTATCCAACGCTTGCCTGCGGTGTCAAAAGAAACATTGTGGGACTCGAGTTACGATGCTCTCGCGCGTGCCCGGCCATTCATCGGCTCGCAGATGATTGATTTATGATTTCTAACACTCATATCACAAGCCTCCTGCCGTTTGTTCTACTTGCGATTTTACTGCACAAGGAAGTATGCAAAACGTAAAGAGAATTTTTACATAGAAATAGTCTGCGAGTTTTTCTACGGAATAGAGCATTTACGATATTAGTTTAAGAAAATATATTTTTAAATAAACATTATGCACTCATCTTTTGTTACTTTTCTACGCAACAAGTATTCTTTATATCTTCTGCAGGTATAGTTATTCATGAAATGAAATCTTAATGACATGTTTGGGCTTACGCAATTGGTAATAAAACAAATTTTAAGAAGAGTAAACGTGGAATTAAAACAATTTAAATATTGAGATGGATCGTAATAGCTTGGAATTAAGAGACTCTGGTTTGCGCCCGCGAATATTTAGAAGTTTAAATACCTTGTGGAACTCCCCGATCTCTTTATTCCTGGCAAATAATCCCTTCTTCAAATATCCGCAATGCAAACAGAACGTTGCATTTGTCCGTCCTTCGTTCCTCCTACTTTTGACTGTTTTCCTATAATACTTCGACATCGCGCACTCAGTCCCAATTTATCAGTTCATTCGATTCAGCAGCCTAGTTACATTTCATTTTCGGAACAATAAGTGGAAAAATGTTATGCTAATGAAGCATTGTGCCAATTGTCTAAGCACTTTGTTCAAATGAAACATTTCACACGTGAGCAATAATGAAATAAATGATTCTGAATTTAATATGGAGTCTCGACCCTTCCACCACCCTCTCGTCGATAGTTGATCGGGTATTCGTTGATGAAGCTTGGTCCGTAATACTCTTTATGATTTATGCGCGACCTAGTGTTCATCCCTTCCTCTCGCGTCCGCACGCCGGAAGTCTCGATTTTACAAGCCGGCCGTTGGTGGGGCGGATGAAGAAGATCGTGGCTTTTGGTCCTCTTGGTGGCTACTTTCGTCGCCGCACGATCAGTTTTTGGTTCGCTGCTTCCTCCTCATCATCTGCTCCTCACTGGTCTTCCACAATCGGAACTTCACACTTCGAGGAGGAAGAATAGCGATCCTGTCTTGATTTGCAAACATCTTCGGGACTCCAGGTAATTCTTTAATTAACGTTGCCGAGTTTAGGAAGTTCTGTGTAAAGCAAGTGAAGAATATTTTAAGAGTTCTTTCGCAAACATCGAATTCGTAGCAGTTCTATCTATTTTTATTTTTACTCATAAGGTTTGTTGAGAATATAGTGCAGACTTTTCAACATAATGATTTGCAAAATTTAATATTAATCATTTTTATATTACCACATAATATTTTATTGTCCTACATTTCAATTTCCATCGTGTGTGTCAATCACATTCCTTCCGAGGAAATAATTTTCTTTTACTTTTTCAGAAAAATTAAACATGTCGAATCTGATACACTTGGTAATGAACAACTACAACGAAATTTTTGAGATGAAAAAAGGTAATTACGTGAATTATGTATTGTTTCACTCGTTTTTCATCGCATCATTCGACACTTCTGTGATTTGTTACAAAAAATGTGTTTGTACTTCAAATCAATTGCGTTGCTAATTTATGGAAATCGCGACTGGTAATGGTGAAGAAGTATGAATACCGTGAATAACATTAAACTTTGTTACCTAACCGATTTGCATTAAAATAGCATATAGAATTTCATCTCCGTGACAATTGTACGTCAGTGAGGGACCCAGATGTTCGAGTTGTACCATGTGATAACTTATTTTAATATTTATCATTCTTTAATTATCTTCTCTAGACATGAACGTCGATTCGTGGCCGATGATGGGATCGCCTGGGCCGATGCTATGCATCGTGGGGACCTACTTAGCGTTCGTTTTAAAAGTCGGCCCGAAAATGATGGAAAAAAGACCAGCATTCCAATTAAACTCGCTGCTAATCGCCTACAACGCGTTTCAAGTCGTGTTCAGCGTTTGGCTTACAATATTGGTACGTTTCAACGCGATTAAATAAAATAATTCTTTTTCATCTTCTTAATCATCATCTTTAAACAGGCGTTGAAACCCGGTGTCGGACTACTTATGTTCTCAACCAAGTGCAACAACTCAAATCGTGGGCCCGTCGACTTAGAACTCGAAGCTCAAGTAAGTCGTTGCACTCATATCGTAAATTCTTTAGTACAATTAAATTATATTGCAATTAAAACAGGTAACGAGAGGAGCCTGGTGGTACTTCGTCGCGAAAATCATCGAACTTCTCGACACGGTAAGTTTAATCGCTTCAACAAATGTATCAATCAGACAAGTACTCATTTTTATCTTTAAAGGTGTTCTTCGTACTACGAAAGAAGCAAAACCAGGTCACTTTCCTGCACGTCTACCATCACACGATTACTTCGGTATTCTCTTGGTGTTACCTCAAGTTCCTACCCGGGGAGCAAGGCGCACTTCTGGGTTGCCTCAACTCGTTCGTACACATCGTCATGTACTCGTATTATTTGATCGCCGCCCTGGGCCCGCAGTATAGAAAGTACCTCTGGTGGAAGAAGTACATGACCTGGATGCAACTGGTAATTCTTTCTTACACGTGAAGATTAAAAATCAAATGAAATTCATGACGTCTGTTTATTTAATTTTGCCATGCGCACGAACGATAATATTTACTTGTTTCCGTTTCTTGTTAGATACAATTCGCCATTATGTTCGCCTACTTGATGATGATCCTCGCAATGGACTGCAAAGTACCAAAAGCACTGACATACTTCTTCTTGACCAACGTAGTGATTTTCCTTTACCTGTTCAGCGACTTCTACCGGAAGGCGTACAACAAGAAGAAGGAAGTCTAATTTCCTCCAGCATGAACGTCCTCCAGTCTCATCGATTGGAGTTACCCAAGGGGAAAAAGAAGGGACCATTAGAGAACAACCGAACAAACATTGAAAAGACAATGCCAGCTCTTCCCAATTAGAGAATTCTAAATCAGGTTCCGTTCAATGAATTCAGAATTTCGAGAGATAACGGGCTCCCAGTCAAAATCTAGGCCAATGGGTCCAGACGATCCGTTGTTCGTGGAAAGACACCGACTGACTGGAGAAAGGACAGTCTTGACCAAACTCAAATCGCCCAAGGCGGGATCGAAGTGGGATACGACTCGAAACGAGAAATCCTGCACCGTTTTGAGTGTAAACAGAACGGTAACTACTTCCCCCTAATTCCTCGACAATTAATTCTCACAAGAAATCGTTTTTCGTTTGATCGAATGGATGCTCTATTTTGACCCTTTGTATAAAAATAGATATTTATAATTCTGTGAACGCGTCGTGAGTTGATTCTTCAATTAATTCGAACGAAGAATCTTGTACATACATAGCGGAAGAATTAAGTCGAGAGTCAATTCGGGATGTGTCATATCTCGTCGATCCGTTCGAAAATCTGCGTAGTTTGAACGAATCGACGAACTCAGCGGTTGCATCTGCCGCGCTTGACGGCGTGCGATACTTAGGAATTGTTACCGTTAACCGCGACATATGTGCGTTAACATTGAATTTATTTATAGGAGATCGATGGAGCTAAGATAAATTAAGAAATAATAAGCGTCGAACTGATAGTTATTCAATCCCTGGACTTGCCCTCTCCGTTCCCGCTTTCCGTTTTGCGTCCGTTTCGTTTTATCGCGAGAAACGAAAAAGAAGAGAATCATGATCGTAATCGTAAGTTTATTCTACCTTAAAGTAATCGACCGATATAGTACAAAAAAGATATTGCACGCAACTGTGATTTTAGTTTCAACTCTCATTCATCATATCCAAATGCAATTAGATTTGTGCTAAAAACTGATTGTTAAATATTTTACGATGGAACATTTCCCAAACTGTTAAAGCTCTTTGGACTTAATTACTAAATTTCATTCTTAATTACACGCTTACGGTTATACCCAAAAGGACGCGATTTCGACTTCTTCCTCGGCCTTACCTTCTACGTCTTTTCATCTCGCTAAAATTTCACGGATATCAAATATGTACAATCATTCAAATTGCATTCATTTGCAACTGAAAAGTTTTGGATCATTCTCCTTTTAGTCGAAGGTAATGGAAAAAGAAGAATTAAATCTTTGACGTAGGCTTCATTATACAATTTTGTGGACAATCGATTTATAAATGTAGCACAGTTAATGTGACTCACGAATGGAAAAAACGATTGGTCATAGATCACTGGATCTTTGCAATGCAATTATGAGCCGCGAATTTAATTTACGAAACTCTACGTCATACGACCACTTGCAGAGCGTAGAACAACTGGCAGTATTGAGATGGTAATATTCTGTTTAAGTAGATTTTTCTTGCCTTTAAACGCATCGAAATTCCAGTTTGTACGCGCAGTCGTAATATCTATTTAACAACTAATTGGTCCTCAAGAAGAAACGATTAATTTTTCAAGAACGATATCATCCCGTTTGAAACTTCAAGGGAACGGCCATTGGTTCCGAAATTAGTGGAGACTTAAGATTTACCACCGTGAACAATTTCGTAGAATGAAATGGAAATTTCACCGAACGGAGAGACAACGGCAACGCACTCGCGAATCGTCTTGGTCAATTCCTCTCTTTACCGCCGTTTGCTTTTCGAAACTTCGGAACTAGTCCGTCTTCCCTTCAGTTAATTTTCCGTTCGTTTTCCTACTCGGTTTTCCGTTCGCGACTCCGTTTTCCTTGTCCTTTGTCAATTTCGCGGGTGTCTTCTGGCCCATGTACGCGCTGTCATAGAAATCAGCGAATAGGAAATAGAAGAATATAACGTTCGGCAGAATTATAATCAGAGACCACTTCGGGTAATCGCAGTCGTAGATCAACAGTTGACAGCTGTGCAGAAACGCCAGGCAGAATTGACCCTGTTTCACAAAAAATTGATCTTACTTAAGTAAATGACTTTTGGCATTTTATGAAATACGACGATGATGTTCATAAAAGAAGTGTCGTTACCATTTGTAGAGTGGTGATGTATCGCTTCCACCACAAGTACTTCTGATATTGAGGTAGCAAAGCGGCCAGCAGATAATACGTGTACATTATTATGTGCACGAAACTGTTGATGACACCTGAAACGAGGAAACGCTATCGGATCGGGGACGAGGTAATGATATAATGATAACATCCAGGAAACACGAGTCGTCTACCTATGAATGTGCCGTGTCCTCCTGGATAGTACTTGGTAGCGCCCCACGAGACCATCGGCATCACCGTGTGGTGGTACAAGTGAAGGAACGTGATTTGATTCTGTTTCTTTCGGAGGACGAAGAACACCGTGTCCAGGAGCTCCGATAGTTTAGCCAGGAAGTAAATGTACACGCCTCTGGCGACCTACGTTCAACCAATCCTCGTCAACTCATTTGCAGTATCGTACATTTTATTAAGTGCTAATAAGGGACAATACGTATTGTGCACAATTTGATTGATACAACTTTTTAACATTAATAATTAGATAGTGGATTTAGAATTGAACGTGCAAAAAATATGATATGATTACATGATATGATGATATAACAGATTAATATGAACATTATTCATTCTACGTTGCTATACAATAACGAGAGCCATGATGTAAATGAGTTAAATAGAATACTTTTGTCGTTCATTAGAAAATACCCTGAGAGCTTCCGGAGAATTGGAAAAGTCGACGGGTTGGCATTTCCAGCTGTACTTCCGAAGCCAAGCTCCGTCCAGACCTTCGTAAAACAGCCAGAGGCTTAGGAGGACTTGCAGCATGTTGTAACAGACTAGAATGTTCCTCAAGTGATACGGTTTCCTATGCTCCATGTATTTCGGTCCCCATGATAGAACGAAGTATAGATAACCAATTAAAATAGTACTACCAGGCACTGGCGATGGTATTAGGAACCAGTCTTTCGTCCGAGGATCTGAAAAACGAAATACGAATGGTTCGAAATTGGAACGGCAATCAAAATTAGGGGAAGTATATATTATATTATAAGATAACATTACTCTTTACCGGCTAGATCAGTGAAGGTGTGCTCCCAGAAACGAACCAGCGAGTTGTTGTAAATGTTTGACGCTCTGTCGACGTGAACCGCACTGCTGCCGTTCATTATGCTCGCTCAACTTCAACTGGAACAAGTATCGCATTTGTGGATACAATTTTATAAAAAGGACAGACTGAAATGTTGAACATGAAGGCTTGAATATTAGGTACAAGATTTTTGGGTCGATGATCATTTTTCTCTAAGAGAAAAGGAATTAAAATGTAAATAAAATGAAGACTTGAATATCAGGTATAAGATTTTTGGGTACACGGTCGCTTTTATAGGAGAAGAAATATATGAAGACTTGAATGTCAGTTTGACATTAACATACGGACAGAGATATAGAATCAGGAGTTTTGATCAGTCATTTCCGCGGTGTCCGCTTTCGTAATTGGTAATTGCACAAATCTAAATTCTTTCTTAAATATACTTGAACCGGTTCCATATATCAAACGATTTGGTTCGATTTCGCAGCGCTTAATGACAACGTTTCGACGGCTTGCCCAATGGCAATGTTACGCTACACAAAAGAATCGTGTCACTTTTTTCCTACCGTTCCCTTTTTTCATTTCTAGGTCACTGAGCTCGCCTTTTTGTGAATTCACCCTTCTATTAAATCCTGCCATGAACCACATCATTTACTTAATTCTGCACTCGAAAAGTGTATTGGCCGTTTGACTCAAGTATGACCATTACGAGTTTACGGCAAGTCGTAAAATGCCAACCTTTCCTCGTCGAGCCAATTTCTATGGAACGATAATAGTAATTTAACTGAGGACTGACATTGTCGCATTGAAACTTTGACGCTTTTTGCTAACTTCGAAAGTGAACCGTCGAGTGAATGGAAAGATTAGAATTTCCGTAACGATTCCTTGAGGATGGTAACGGGACAGAGCAGCGGAATTTTCACCGTGAACGCGTCGGTACATGGAAGAAAGAAAAAGGAGAACTAGCACAATTACGGTGATCGCGTGAGGAGATAGGAAGACCTGGAACGCAACCTTTCATTAAGGAAACTAACCGAGCATCCCGGTGCAATACCGCAACTCCGATACCTAAGTACTTATGCATGCACCTGTTTATTCAATTTTCTATAATAAGTTAACAATTATATAAAAAAACGGATATCGCTCTTTGATCGACATTTGGCATTTAATTCAATTTACGACCAACGCTCGCGATCGAAATAATTAATTAAAGAATAGTTTGCTATGATACAATCTGCATTATAATCATTTTCGAAAAGTAAACGGTACGTTAAACCAATTAAAAATTGACCGAAGAAGAATGAAAAGGAAGAACAAGAAACGTCACGCATGACGACACACAGAGTCTGAAAATCGAGAAATCGATGATGATGGTATTTGTGTCAGCGATAACAAGGTGGTGAATGAACTCAGAAGAAAATTACGCTTGTTGCTCCCTTTTCTTTCATGTAAAATATAGTTCAAACTCTTACGATTTGTATATATCTAATGATGACAAGCATCGCATAATTATCTGTGCAAGTTGGTTCTTGCCAACAGCTCTCCCGCGAACACTTTCATTAGCCTGATTTTCCGTTTTCTTTAAACCGGGAAAGGATACACCGCTCATTTGGCATGTTGCAATTTTACTGCTGCTTTACAACGCCTGATGGTTTTTCAGTTTCCGTTAAGGAAAATATTGAAAATTTTATGGACGGTAATTTTCTCGAGAACACTGGTTAACGATACATTTTGCAACAGTTTATCATTTTATATTATACGATCAAATATCTCGACAGTTTGTTACGTCGTATCACCCATACAATAATAATGAAAGCTTGTCTAACGAAAACTCATTAAGCTGGCTACTAATGAGATAATTGCGAAAAAACGATTGCTAGTAATTACAATAATAGCAGAGATTATTCTGTATTAAGCTACACGCTTCATTGAATTCTTCACGCGCTATTGGACGATTACAAAAACTCTTAAAGTTCCACGCGTGGATAATTTTCATATTTATGACATTTGATTTAACAAAAAATAATATTTTCCCAGTTTTTGTGCAAAGTACATATTTTTCTTTCAATGTCAACTGACCGACCAGATTTAATGCCTGATCATTGAAACATGAATTCACATTTTCAACTATCTGTTAACATCTTGTAAACGGAATGGGTAATTGCTGGAAAAATAGACTGTAACTACTTAAACATTGTATTTAACACATTATTTCATGTTAAATACGGGGTCGGAAGATTAGCTCATTAATAAAAGATTCGACATGACACTTCGATCAGAAAGTGTTTCCTTTCATGCTTCAACTTATTTCTTATTTAGAGATCGATGAATACTAAGGAAAATTATCAATAAGGTTCGCATAAAACGTGTGGATGCATCTCTCTTAACTCCAGCCAAATGGCATTTCGAATCAGCGTCGAACCGCTAATAAATTCACGTTGCGAGACCCGACAATAGTGCATTGCACTGTTTCTGCAACAGCAGCGTTTCTGATGCACGCAATCCATGTACATTTGGGTTTTTATTACCATAAAATTACACAATCACCTTTTTCTAAATCAACCTTCTATTACATTAAAGAAGGTGATCATTTCTTCAGAGATGTATAATTTCTTAATTTCAATTGAATTTATTGATTTTTCGATACTCAATCCACACCAATAGTAAAATTTTTTTCAGTTCCCGTGATCGGAAATAGTTTTCAGAAAAATCGCATGATAGCTTTATCATAAACGTTCACAATTGCCATTCGTTTATTAATGAAGTTATTCTGTAGCTAGTTATTCTATCTGCCGAGTGGTTAATCCGATTACTATATCTTCGTACAATCGTTTCCTCTCGACCAGCTTGATTTATTCCATCTATTAGAAGAGAATCGAGTACGAATGAACCACCATCATGCATTATCAAAGCGTCGATCGCGTATTGCTTCTTAATTGCCTCGTTTCCGTTGTATGCCTAGTTATTAATCACAATTATGTATCAGTAATCGAACAATAATTTAACACAGTATACGCGTAATTATATAGTAATTTGTTAATTTATTTTAGTCCAACACATGCTTGTATTTCGTATACTTTATTCAATAATTCTCTATTGTAAATGCACGAGCATAAAACTGTCATATCAATTTTCTAAGACCATCAAATTACAAGAGTAACGAGCAATTCAGAAACAAACGATAGTTTATTGACAATCGAAGAGTGTGTTTGAGAGAATGTGTGCCAGCAGTCGTCGTCTCATCGCGTTTGTGTGTCACGGGTATTCTCTCTCACCGAGACCGGTTCCACCTTTAAAAAACCGACCCCAACGATCGCGGCTGTAGCGCTTTTAATTTCAATTTTAATTTCACGTTCCCTCGAAAGTTTCCTTACTAACCCATTGACACGCACGATGAAACTCACACATAAAACAACGATTCTAATACTAACGATGATAGTAGAATGCTGTGTTTATTACTACCAGTTCTCATTTTATCGTACCAAATGGTTATGGTTTCGAATGAGCGAGAAAGTAAAGAACTGCTAGAAATGAAGAACACGTTTCTATACAGGATAGACAAAGTCTTGTATGTTTCTGAAAAACAATTTTTAAGTTAGAAGAAATTAAAATGTAAAAATAATTGGATATAAAAAATTTAAATGGTTTTTATATAACGAGAGACGAAATTCGAATTCGATTTGCAGTTTCTTAGTATTTGAAGATCTCGTGGAACGTGCCGATGCGGTTGAGGATTGCTTATTAACTGCAGCATTATCTATTCCGTGAAGAGGACCTTTAGCTTGAAGTAGTACTACGTGGCTACTTTGAAAGTAACTCAAATAACGATTTTGCATATACAAACATGATGAATTCATTTATTAACGTCACAAAATAAGTTACGTAATTTTAACTATTAGATTCTCCGTTACAATGAATCACGCAGACGTAAATACAATTTTCGAACTTCGTTCCCACTGTTCCGCACTATTCTTGAAAGATGGAATGAAAACTTGATTAATCATCATATTTAAATTCTTTCTTGACTATCTTGGCTATTCGAATCTTTGTTACAATATATCACTGAGAAGATACTACTAAAGAATGACAGTACCCGTGTAATCATTGAGACAGTGAATGAGACCCAATGGGACTCAAATTACAGTAGCAGTTTGTAGTTTTAAAAATCTTTCAACAATATACGTGAAAAAACGAAAATTTGATCGATTATACTTGTAAATGCTTTCGCGGCCATTTAAAATTAAAATAACTCAGCCTCGAGACTTTAAATTTCCTTTCTGTTTAAATTACGATTTCCTTCGTTTCTCCCTCTATAAGCGTGGAAACGAAACTCGCATAACGTCTGGTCAAACAGGAAGTGACGGGCTCGATTCGATTCGAGGCAGCAATAGCAATGTGGATTATTCTCGCCTGGAAGAATATTATCAGTCTACGTTCAAACGAAGTCGAGTATGTTACGCTTCGAAAATTCGCGGCCAACATCGAGCAGCGCAAAATGAAAATGCGTAACCCCGATCTTCTCTTATTTGCCTTTGTCAATTGATTCAGCTGGAAGAAAAATATGGACGGAAGCTTTTTTTCATTAATAAGTGGCGGATTATTATGGCAAATAAAACATTTATTAAGTCAATTTGAAAAATGTGATTTAGATTTTCTTATATGCATACAGCGCTGTATACATCATATATCTAATAGTTTACGTCCATTCTTTATATTTTCTATGCATTCTATTTTTTTATAAATGTATAATATCCGCAATTTATTCATCATTAACAATGCTTAGGAATTTGGATCACGTAAAAGCGATCGTTCAGCTTTCCGTGGCCATGATTTACAGCGTTTCGCGATTTATCTTTGCTGTTTCGTAACCCTTCCTTGGACGCATGTACGGGAATGTAATATCCTGCAATTTTAACAACGAGTACATTGTCGTAAGCAAAATGATTTTTTATGGGAACTTTTGTATCAAAGTAGAACAAGATACGATATTATTTATGATAGTGAAACAAAAAGATGAATTGGTCAGCAAATGAGATTTATCTTGATTACTGGATGACCTATCGTTCTAAAACGCCTGAAATAAAGAGGACACCGTGTATGCGAACGGCCGATTTCCTGCAGGCATCCCGGCAACGCGACTCGAAAGTAAACAAGAAGTAACTATGCCTCTTACTATATGCAACAAATAAAAGAACATTTCCTATATTTTGCATAAAGATCACCTGAGAAACTGTTCGGAATCGCTCGTGCGTTCCTATCAGAGCGAATAATACATCTTGTACATTTGTCAAGTGTTCCTGTAGATCATTTATTTTGCGAGATAAGAAGCCTGAACTTCGACAGATATAACGAAATGGATTTTCTCGGCTGAATTACACCATTGATACGGTTTATAAATATCGATTATCTATTTTAATGTTTTATGAATGAACTGGGAACAAGTGTATGAATCTTTTAAATTTAAATCAGGGTGACAGAAACTAATGCTAATTCGCACAAACACGTCCACACGATTTTCATGACTGATATATGGAAACTTCAGGCCGTAAACTTTCAAACAGAATAGAAACAGAAAGAAGTCTGAAATGTCGGAGGAGGATTTTATTTAACCGATCAGGCAACGCGAACCTGAAACGACGTATTCGCTACGCTTTCTTCTTGTCAGCTAGTTTATCGTACGTACAGTGAGAGTCAAGAGTACGCGCGTTTATGAAAGGTTTAAACTATTTCCTGCAGATTTAGACGAAGCTCTCTTTTTTTATATCCATTACGATGGAACGTATTGAAATTAAAATTAGAAAAACTTCTTACCTATTCGAGCAGAGAAAATTGCTTTACTTCAAAATTTTGATATTTGATTACGAGATTATACTCAAGATTTTTTATATTCATTTTGAAGTGAGGGCTCCGTGGTCCCAAAATGCAAACTTTGATAAAATTTAGAGTCGAACCGAGGGAGATCGAGTACGCGATCACGTGAGCGCATCCAATGTGCCATTGGCAGTGAGGTAAGAATGTCAGTGCGCATAGTTACCGTGTGGTACGGCACGAAACTCGATTGTTACGCAAGCATCCGTGTTCGGTGGCGATCGATGACCGATCCGCAGGTCAACTTGGGAAAGCAGGAAGAAAGCAAGGGAAAGAGATTTGTACCACCATTCGAAATTGACTGATTCGTAAACGCTTTGGCACATCATCGTAAAAGGGTTGAGCAACTGATTGATTAAGAGGAAATTGCTTAAGCTTGCGTAAATTCAAATGACAAATTAGGGAAAATTTTATGGCTGCCGGATGAAGCGTATAATAGATCGAGAAGTTGTAAACACGTTGTTTTTGCTTAAATTAAATGTGATTTACATTAGTCTAGACTAGACTGAGTGTACCTCAGTAAAACGGCCTACATTCGTTGAAAGGATAAAAATTTACTCTTGAGCTTTACAAGGAATATCAATGTCAAGTATAATCCAATATTAATCTTGTGAATTTGTTTGAGAAAACTAGTCCTCTTTCTCTAGTGCCACTCATTGCCTCTATTGCCGCTTTCGCTCTCTTTCACTGTTCTTAGAACCTTCACTCGGTCATTACGTTAACCGACAGAAGTGAAATTTTCCACTTGATTTATATCTTCCTCGTCCAATTAATTCAGCATTAAGGAGATCAACATTTTCTAATATAATCGCATCGTCGTAGATTTAATAATTCAATGGACGATGGCTAATAAGTTTGATGGTAGACTGAAATCTCCTACGTCGGGTACTGCGACTACCTGAATGTTTCGTAATCCCAGCTGCAACGTTCGCGCGACGTTGTGGGAAACATAGTCGATGCTGGCTACCAAAAATGATCAACATTCATTTTCCATCGTCTTATTAAGTTAATCGGTTTGATTTCCTTTCTCTATGTAACCAATTCGATGCAAGCGATGTAACAGCTACCATAACTTCTGGTTCGAGAAGGAAGTGACTGGAATCAGTTTAACACAAACTTGCATTACCGGTCATGTAATAAACACGCAAGTTGGAAAGTGCGAAATGTGAAATTATAATCCGAAATTGTTTGAATGTGCAGGATTCCTTAATCAACTGCGGTTATCAATCTTGAAGTTTTACGTAACAAACAAACAAGCGTTGGGTCCGTGGAGATGACTTCGCGATTTGCTTATTCCTGGATTCCACTTCATTTGCATAACTTTTTCTCGATCAATGTAATTAATAAGATGAACTTTAATTATCAACGTTTCTTTGGCAACGATGATCATTGCGAATTAACGATTATGAACGCGTTATATTTTCTTTTGGCCTACAGTTTACGCGTGGCTCATTAATTTCAACATCTTGTCGTCGAATGCTATGGAAGATTTTCCCAAGGACTAAAAACAAAAATCTATAATGAATGCCAGAATTCGCCGATCCTACAAAATACGAACAGAAAGTGTGACGGTCGAAAAACCTGTTGAGCCCACTCACGGTCGCATTTATACGAACTATATTTCGAGAAGTTGCGAGTTTTGAAAGCGAGAAAGCGAGGTAAACAACGGCGTAAGCGATTGTTAAATTCTAGCGCCGGTATCTTCGTTAAATGAAATTCGATTGGAGCATCTAATAAAATATTTCAAGCTGAATATGATAGTCCAGATTTCTCGAGGAAAGGTCAAGATCTGAACTAACACTTTCTAAGCTGGCGAAACGGAAAAAGGAAGAGACACTTAACTTTTCCTTGAATTTTATATATTCATATCATTTGTAGTAAATTCTGTGCTAATATCTATAGTGCTTTTAATTATCTTCAAAAGTAATCTACTTGTTCTCGGAAACGAAAACAAACATGTTAAAAAAGTTGTGTACGGCATAAAGAAGTTGCAACGGAGTTACGTCAACGGAGAAGTTACATTATAAAATCATGATTACAAGCAGGAAATCAGTTTGACATTAGCGGTTCGACGGATGGCGGAGTCTCCTTGACATTTTGGCCAGGCGTATCCAATTTTTCCACCGAAATCACTACAACGATTTGGTAGAAATCCAACTCGACGGAACAGACATACTTATGATGAAATTTAATATAAACGCTGCGCGTACTGTATGCAACTACAGATTACCATTATCATAGACTGCATATCGCAAAGATTAAACGATAAATGATATTTCGATCTAAATTGCATTTTTAATCTGATCAATATCCGAGCAACGCAGATGTGGATTCTTTCCAAGTCGCTCGCTTTCACGCTTACGTAACTATCATGGTCTTAGGAGATTTGCTCTCCCAATTTAAGCTAACGCATCAGTTTTCCATGAGAATCCTCGGACGCGTTCAGACTTATCGAGATCGAAAGTGGTTTGGGCAGTAGGTGCTGCTTCCTTCGAGATGTAACGATTTTAAACGCGCCTTCCGATACGCGAATTCTCATCGGTTTCATACCAATCTAACCGAGAAACGGACACCCGGAAGCAAACACGTCCACGGGATCTTGATCGTCGCTCCACGCCTATAAACCGCCTTGTTACAGGTTACAGAGTGAAATTGCGACGCACGATCGCAATTAGATTTCTAGTTTCAGTGGTAGTGGTCGTTCACCCGAGCGATCGGCCTTACGGAAAACGAACATACCGGGAAATGCAAGTTCCCCGGTCTCATACTCGTGATCTACGATCTCGCGTGTCAAAATCGAAATTCAGTCTAATTGAATAAAGTAATAACTGACCGTCACAGAAAATATGGAAGAATTTACGAAAAGGACACCGGAGCACTTAGTCAGTTACGTGAGACGACGACTGCCGAATGAAAGTAAAAAGCGAACGGGACAAATTTAAAACATGATGAATAATTTTATTGGAGAATGAATGGAGCGAATACAAACTCCTACGTACCGGCTGTAACGGTAAAGGAATATAATAGTCAAGTTGAATATAATTTTCGTTGCATAGGGAAATCAGCCCGATATCAATTTCGTAATAACGGTAAGACAGAGACGAGCAACTAATGAAATATATGAAAGAACCGGTTGATAAGAAATCGTGTCAGGTGAGTATACACTAAGCAGTAAGAAAGACCGGTTGGAAAAGTGCAGTCGGAAGCGAAACGGTCGAACGCGAAGAACCTCTCAAGGACGGTTCCGCTACAAAAATCAGAGTAGCTAAGATCAATGGCAAACATCAAACGATTCTCATTTCAAAGAAAAAGACTGAATTCAACAGTGTAAGAAGCTAGTTTAGTGTTTCTAATAGGATTTCATTGCTTTTTTTTATAGTGTTTAATGTAATTTATACTGACATATCGCTTTAACAACGTGTTCTTACCAATATTGAATTAATTATACGGTGATCCACAATCACAGCACCATTGCCTATTGATGAAGGAGTAATTTCTCTTGTTGGTTGATCGGTGAATACCGGAATTAGATCCTTGATAACGATGAAGATGCGCGATCGCGTATGGTATATAGAAACGCGGACCGGATCGGTTATTGTCGAGCCGAAAAATACCCCGGCGATTGATCTCACTCGATCCGACGTTTCTGATGAACTGAGAGGACTGATCGGATAGCGTCCTGTGCCGTTACTTTCTACCTACACATGGGGAGATTGGGGAGTAGGAAAAGCTGCGAGAAGTGGGGTATCAAATCGCGATAAGGCTGGACACGCCGAATCGAATGGTGGGAGGCAAGGTTGCTGTTTTTCGAACGCATTTTTCGAGGTGATCCTGTTTCGCGAAGGGCCACCGACGGAAACTTACGGAACTTCCCTGGGATCTCCGCTTGGACAGCCTTGCGAGCTGACAGGACACGTGGTTAACTCGTTCTCGAGACAATTTCCAGCGGCAACTGAGTGGAAAGCGTTTTAATGCGAGATGCAACGAGAGGGACTATTACGCGGTGACTCGACCAGTTTTACGTTCGTTGAAGGACGAACAATTCGTCGAAGCAATGTTTTAATTAAGAGACCAGATGAAATTCTGAAATTTTCTCATGCAATTAAAAAATTGTTTAACAAATTTAGAGTTTGTTATATTCCGTTAGGAATATCGTTAAATCTATGTCTAAAAGGGTAAATTACTGCATTATGTTATTATAGAACGAGGTCGCGACTTAGAAAACATTAGAAGGCATTAGATCATATCAGTCGAGATCAACAGAAGCACTAAGGATCCTCAACGTTGTCAGCTGTCAGGGTTGCGTCACGTGCAGATGAGAAAGTTACATAATAAAACGCGCATCCTACGTACGGTATAAATAAAAAAAGCCTAAAACTACGATTGCTCAATGTTGCAACGGAGTAATCGCCATTCATTCTACGAATCCTCTGCTTATTGAGCAATTACTTTGCCACTCGTTTCATTTTAACACCTCTGAATGTATCATCTGTTAGACGTAATGATAAATTTCCATGAAGAAGGTTATACGAAGGCCGGTCAGCATCTTCTAGATCCAGTTGCCTAATAGACAAGACCTTCGCAACAAGACCTTGGCACGAATGATCCACCGAGTATTTTATCATTTGCCATTTTTGTGATTATTGATAAGTTTAATTCTAATGTTTAAATATTCGAAGTTCACTGTAAACATCTTTGGTATTTTTATTTGCGTAACGCGAAGAAAGTGTCACTCACCCCCTGAGCGTACGTGCTCGCCTGGAGAACGAAGACCTTGATCGACGTTGAAGAGAAAGGGCCAGAAGAATAAGACCGGGTGAACGCTTTATTAAGGTCACCAGTGAAATCGAGGAGAATTAGGTTACTCTATCGTTCATATAATTTGACCAAAAAAGGAAAATTTTAATACCATAATGTCAACACCTCAGTTTCCTTTATGGTGAACAAAATTAATAAACATGTAAAAGATATTCTAGACCAATAATACAACGAGACTGATAAAATAGATTGCAATTAATCAGATCGAAGGGGACAATTACACTTGAGTTTCCAAATGAAAAATAATTTGAAAAATGAGAAGTATTTATAATGTCCCTCGAGGCACACTTATCTCATACTTTTACGTGCGAGCTCGAGAAAGAGAAAAGACTGCATTGCAAAACGGACCATTTCGAAACGAAATTGTTTTAATTTTAAGTGTATTCGCACGTAGTCAGCGCAGCATCCGATCGGGCATCATGCAATTAACAATAATCACCGAATCAAGTTAATTTTGATAATCGAATTAATTGTAAGCTCAGTCTCTCCATAAATCCAATCAGTCATAAACACACTTGCAATTTTTAAAAAATAAAAATCATGTAACACTATGATATTTCGAAAAAGGATTAATAAACATATTGAGATGAACAGAAACGCTTGGTTCAAGTTTCTGTCTTAAGGACTTCGCTGATGTGTTGCAATTACGTCGGGTCTCGAAGTTTTCGTGGTGAATCCGCGTATGGGACGAAGAAGAGAGAAACGAGCTCGCGAGAGGAGTGCAGGGGGCCGAGGTTATTTAGCAAGAGGTGTTGCAGCTGCCGAGAGACGATCGGCTCTCCCCTTCGATTTTGTAATCGGCCATTGGACTTGCGCGCCTATTGCAAATACAGTCTCGTAACTTCAATTAATATTAGTAATCGTGTAAAAAGGAGCCGTCGGTGACGAAAGATGGTTCGAAGACGCGCAATTCTTTTCTCAGAATGAAATTTCAGTATTTTGAATTTGATTTGAACAATTGCGAATGTGCAATTTTTAATTTATGAACTATTTCTTATATTCAATCATCATATCATCGACATAATTTAATACACTATTGTTAACATGTTAATTTTACTCGATAGAATTTGCATCAGCGAAGACGAAACGACAATGAAGGCCTGCCGAAGAATGCAAGGACGCGAAACTTCATAAGGAAACTACATATAGATTATTATAATTTAAAATGTTTGTCAGTAAATTTCACAGCCAGGCGGAAATGAAACGTTGGAATCATTAAGCAGTGACACAAAACCGCGATGCGAATCCTAGAATTAATGCGAAATTTATGGAAATTCTCCGAGGTACGATAACATTTAATTATTAATTTTTACTGAGAGATTGTTGTTTAAGTAATTTGACGTCACTACATGCAAATCTCCAACGGATTTGTAATACAAACAGTTAAATGAGCAGGGAATCGACGGTGCGACATTAATTGTAAATCTAGTATGCAGATATTCCCGGTGGCAGCATATTGCAAATTAGGTTACAGTGTCTGAGAAACTGCTACAAATGTCAAAAAGTCACCGGTTTTGCGACGATGTCGGAATCATGATGAAGGACTCACGACCGAATTCATCAATATACATTCACTAAGAAGTAATCCAATTACGAATGAACAAAATATTTGCGAATCCAAGTCACCTTTTCTTAAACCATCGGCGTCGTGTACAAAAAACGCTTTTGTATTTTATTCTGCGTTTCATTAGAAACAAGGAAACATTTAAAGAATCGTTCCAACGTTTCCATCATTGATACAAATCATGTTTTTTTATGAGTCCATCGACTCTTGACCTCGCACCCGATCGCTTGTTTTCCTGCTACTTATAGAAATCATCGATGAATTTATTAGTTCTTCGGTTTTAAGAATTTACGTTTGAGAAATTACAGAGGATCTACGATGTATCAATTTAAGTTGTTGCAATGATTGATCTACTTACATAGGACCATAATCTCGAACACTTATGAATACGCTATTGATTTTCTACTTTGTCCAAACTTACAATGATAACAGGTGGATACTTAAGATTTAGGGACAATTGAATCAGATTAAAAGTTCCATTCGAGATTGATTAATAGAACTCAGATTGGTTAAATGAATTGTTAAAGAACTTGATACTCTTTTATGCGAATATATGTTCCTTTGCTTGAATCGAATCGAATCTGTTTATCTTCAATGATAATAACGGTTGAGTGAAGAAATCGATGTCTCTCCAAATAAATGCTTTTAGTAAAGATACACTAAATTAGTCTATCGTTCAATGGGAATGATAATTTATTTACTGCTTCTATTGAAACATCATGTAAGTTTCCTGCAAAAATAAGAAAGAAGAATGGAAAAATATGACACGATAAAAAGTTACACGTATCCGGTAAATTACGAGTGATACAATGTTTATTTGGAACAGTGAGGTAAACAGATTTTCTCAAGAAAAAGTGCAGCGCATCAGCTTTTTTTTAAGAAAGAAACATACAACACTGATTGCAAATTATTGCCTATAATTAATGAGTTCTTAGAATATTCAATTAACTGGTAAAAAATTAGTATCAAGGTGCAGAATGACGTTTATATCATTTTCACATATCACGTTCTATCGACAAAAGAGAACGCCACATGCCAAGCAATAATTTTCACTCGAGCCACTCGGGAAGGTTGCAGCTCTTAAGGCGTCAAGTTTTAACCTGTTGCTTGGAATTTGATAAAGGAAAAACGTCTCCTACTTCTCGTGTTGAATTTCTTTAATAATTTTACAGACTGTGGATTTTTCGTTTAATTAAATCTTTTTTTCTTGTCGAATTAACCGTCCCAAAATAAATTGAAAACGATTACACAATGCTAAAATTACAAAAGTAAATGTTCACTTCTTACAGACGTCATCGGATTAATTGATGTCCAATATGAATAATTAATTGTGATTAAAACATAAAAGCTTAGTTTACAAGAAGAAAGCAAGAGTTGCCTGCGGTTCTCGAAGAAGGCACATCGGGAATTCCAATGCAAATATAGTCGAATAATTCTACGGCAATCGTAAATCTGATTGCAACTATATTCGCTGCGTGACACGTGCAGATTTCCACCGCTTGCGTTACGCATTTCAAATTGCCGACATTTACTCTTAGAGGAATCGCAAAGTTGTCCTGAAACTATAAATCATTGGCTGAATTAAAACTCTCGATTGATCAGAGTATTAATTGACGCATACATGATGTTACTTAATTAAAAAAAAGTGTGAGTTGCACGTTGGATACGATGATTAGACAAAACATCATAAGTCATTAAGACGATTAAGAGACGACGTCGGGCATTACGCGTAAAAACAATTGACTTAATTTAACGAGGTGATAAATATGCATACATAACTGGAGTGCTTGCTAGTATGAGTGGAACACAGTTACACGGCGAGCTAGTTAATTTTTCTCGGCCTACTTGAATATGTACGCGATAACGGAAATCATGGATTATGTATACAGTTCCTCCTGAATCGATTGCGAAAGAACTTCTCAGTTGAAAATAGAGTTTCGTCTCCGCGAATAGAATTCGGAGGCGACGCTTAATATTTATGACGCCCTTTGGATTCGTTTAAACGGGTTCGGCGGGCAACTATACGCGGTTAAGTAATCGACTAGATGGCGAGCTCGTTCAGAACAGTCGGCTCGGTTACAGTGTCACTTCGGTAACCGACGTGAACCGACGAAGAATAAAAATAACTGCAAGAAGCTTGACCTTGATCCGCGGACTACCGCTCCGGATCACGTTATTCCGTAAAAATTATCTCTTCCGCAAGTGGACACGTGAAGAATCAGCAAAAAGTGATCCAGAATTATTTAGCAACGAGAAACCAAGTTTTTAAGGTTGTTGCTAAGGTTTGGCAAAAACGTTTTGAACAATCCAGTAATAAAAAAGATTGAATTCGTAAGAAATAAAAATTCGAGAATGTATGTGCATTAGCATTTTGGAAACTTTGTATGTTCCATTCAATTGTTACTTTATTATATTTGAAAAACTTACTGATTCAAATGAGTAGTAAAAATTCAAACGTATCTCGTAAATATTAGACAGAATTATAATTTGCGGTAGGTCACGAAGCTCATACAAACCTGATGACGAATAAAAGTCGTTTATATCAAGTCCCGGCGATCTCGGCAACCATTCAACAAGGAACGTGAGCAGAATGGAAATCGTCGGACTTTTCGTTGTTCTCTATCAGAGAAGCCAACTGGTTCCACCGTCTGTTTAATCCTAATAGAGATATGTCTTTAACAACCATCTATCGAGAGTCACGCGACGGGACAATCAGATCCATACCGATTTGGAGCAAAGGTCAACATGTGCAACATCCTTTTACAAAGTATTATATTATTATTCGAGTCTTGGAGAAAAATGAAAATGAAAATGTTGTAGCTGCATACTTTTCTCTTATCAAATTCGTAGTTTTCTCAATAGCGTTAATAGTAAATTTCTCAAATTATACAAGCTATAAAAATTAAATAGTGCATCTCTGCAACGTGATAATAAAACTGATGTATTTGTAAGATTAGTTCAATTTTTTAACTATAATTCGGGAACTACTTTGTGAAGACTTGAATGGGTGGATGGGAATGCGCGCGGCAGCACTGGAGGTTTCGATGCCTGGATGGATACTGCGTATGGCACAAGTGCCTCATGAAATGCGAAACATGCGATGTTTCGTAATATTTATACTCAATATTCACTGCGTTTCTCAACTTTTTTCTCAATCTATAAAGATGAAAATTACGAGGATCACGCATTATCGACCTAACGTGCCTTCTTGGAATCTGGTTTAACTGTCGGATTAACCACGCGCTTGACTTTTACTACTTATCTGGAAATGATCGTGCTCTAATTAACCGGAATTTGAAAACGTTTTATTTGTAGAACTATTTCTTTTTAATATCGTGATATTAAACGTGTCGTCGTGTAAAGTGCTCTTAGGTAACTTAATCTACCGCCAGTTGATTTGTTATGTTCAATTTAAATGTATGATAAATCTTCAAGGCATTGTCGTAAATCGTCTAATACTAATTTGCGTAAGCCGGGCGAAAGGTTTGATCATTAAACTGCGTTAGTTGTTTGTACGTATAGCAAAATCAAAATCGTGCACGATTGATTTACGATTTTGCAATATTTTCCGCGACGTCGATTTATGTACATCCATCGTCCTTGTTGTCCACACGTAAATATACGAGAGATGCGTTTACCAGAATAATTGGATAATCATATCGTGTACATATTTTCCTTCCTTGTTCCTGTCCGATAAAAAACAGGAAATGGTAAACAGTGACTAAGTGAATTAATTAATAATTAGGATACACATCGAAAGGTATTTCTTCTAAATAGAGGCTTGCGGATTTTTCCTAATGGAAAATAATCCCCAACGCAGCATTCTTATTATGTATCGACAATAACGCAAGGCCGATCTGCGCTATGCTGATGTGGAGCACGTGTGCAAAGATTTTTATCAATGTAAGTAACTAATTTTCACTGTAATGTGTAACGCAACGTGAGTTATTAGTTCTTTTAATTTCCGCGTATTTAGTTTGCGTTCAAATGTTCTACGTAAGGAATTTTTTTAATAATCAATCCGCTTTTTACAAATCGTCATTAGATACAAACTACAATAATTGAATAAAAATCAAACCGGTGAATAACTCTTCGAAGAACCTTAAAAAATATGATAGAAAATCCGATTTGCGTGTCATACGAAAAGAAGTTCACCTCGGATCTGTCTCTTTTAGAAATAATAAATAGGGGAGAAGAGGAAAGTTCTAGGAAAAATGAAGCGAGTTATAATTAGAAGCCAGGACGAAAAAGAAAGTTTGACAAAGGCCGAAATTCGGCCTTCTTAACCACCTTTGCAAGACTGCTTGTTTACAACATAAAATATCTTAGAGAACATTCCTGATGAATACTAATCTCTCTACATCTTCCCAGTTTAACAAGTCCACTTCTAAATTATTTTCTTTTATTCTTCATAAATATTTCATCAATACAACAGATTTCATTATCCAATCAAAATTAATGGAATAAACATTCTATAAAAAATTTAATTAACAAAGCAGACGAGAATTTTCTGTGGGACTGCTGATTGAAAGAGAAAAAAGCGAAACTTGGACGAGTGGCCAAAGTTCGCGGTCCACGAGATTCATCTGGCCGAAAAGAATGTTAGGCTGGCCGTGACACAGTTAACGCTTGTCTAAGATGGCATGGAGACGCTCCGTAATACTCACTTATTCGACCAGTTTGCGGAATCCCCGAAGCATGATTTAATTCCAGACCGACCGTCTGCCGATTGACGAGTAATAACTACCACCTCTCCGCGTATTTCTCATCGATTTCACCGTACCGTACGTTGCCTGCATCACGTCGTACATCTGTCTGTGTGTGCTACCGCACAGTAGATTACAAGACTCTGAAGTATTCATAAACAATCACAATAAAGATTGATAGATCGGTTGCTTTTTAATTATCGTTTCAGGTAAAGAATCATTCTTGGAATGGTACATTTTTCATCTGCTGATTGCTGATTTCACTTAATTTTCATTCGCGCTAAGTATTAAGAAACGACGACGTTCAATCAGTCATAAAATCATGATATCGTAACAATGATCAGCAACATTTCTGAGAAACCTGAGAGGAGCTGACCTTAATACGCTGCACCAGAATTAGGAGAAAGCATATCTCAATGCAACTTGTTTCCTATCACTGCATCCGGAAGAAGTAACCAAATACTCCGCTTCTATTAACTATCAACATTACAAAATTTTAATGTCTGATATTGAAAATTCGATTTACGTGGTAAAGATTTCTACCGATAATTGATATTTACTTGTTGGCGAACTTAAGAATCGATTACTCTATTTTCCTACCATACAAATTGCGGACATATAAAAAGATGATTACGTCCACACCTTTTCGATTAATGAAGAATTCAGGGAAACGCGATAACAGCAAAAATAAGTGTTTTGCTGATGAACTGAATATTAAAGGTTCCACTTTTTACGATCGTACCGAAGGAATGCGCAAGGGTTCAAAGATCCACCGTTCAAATTCTACCTTCATCATTACTGCGGATTTTTAAGATACGAGTGTACTGAAATTTTAATCAATTTTGAACAATGCACTTATACAAAAACAGGCAACAATATTTAATAGATATCTCATTCTTTAACCCTGTATTTTAAATATGTGAGTAACACGGGTTGAACGAGGACCGTGGTACGGTGTCTAGAATTGGGTCTGCCGGGGCAAGCTTTGAACGACCTTGGCCGAAGGGTGTGCACTAGGCCCCTTCTCGCTACCGATGGAAGGAAAGGAGACCTTGACTCCCCGTGGCATAGAGATTTTCAGGCGATCACCTGAGGCCCACACGCTCCCACCCCGGCTACTCGCCGCTCGAACCCCACTTGCTTAACCAATACTTAAACCGTGATTTCGCTCGGCCGCGGACTATTCACGCAGCATCGGCTGTTGGACCCACATTTCTGTACATGCGTCTTCGCGCGGACACGCGTGCACACGCTCGCAACACCGACACCGTACCGCGTGCCATCCCGCGAGAACGCGTGCACCCGCGCCGTCACTGCGATCGCAAGTGTTAGCTACCCCGTCAAACGTCGCGCGTGCAAACTACAGAGTCCTGTGACCAAGGGGTTGGAAGCTTGTGGAATAACCGATCCGTTTTTGAAACCAGTGAACTGAGTGCCGAGTTCAGAGAGATCATCGATTCAGAACGAAGCGGATCTCTAGTGGTAGCAAGCATTTTTCCTCAAGGAAGAGCTTTTCGGATAAAGCTGGTGCATCTCGGACGCGTCGAGGCCCCGTTGGGAGGAGCTTGTAATCGAGGTCGAGACAGTGGAGACTCGGTCAACCCAAATTGATCACACTTTTACTTGCAACCGTCTCATCAATTTCGTCGGTCAGAACAGGTAACTCGCTCTTAAAAGATGTCACGTCATTGGAGAGTGACTCGGACCTCGAACTTAACCCAGATAGCCCCTAAAAAACGATAAAAACCGCGTCTAATTTGCAAACCGGATTCACTCGATTCGTCTTTGCTCTAAAATTTTCACATCTCCGTTATAAACTTCATGAAGTAATCAGGATTTCAAAGTGTATCGTAAGCACCTTCGAGTGCGATTTCAATATGTACATTGCTGATATTGCAAATTCAATCGGAACCAGTTTATGAAAATTTATGTATCGAACATTTAAAACACTTTGCCACAGTTTCAAGGATTAAAATAAGCGAACTGGTCCGTTTAAGTATGCCTAATAAGAAATAATGTATGTAATTATTGAGTCATCTACTTACGCTAATATATAAAACTGATTTGAAATCAACTGAATTAAAAGTGTAAAGATTAGAAACAATTATTATTTACACATGAATCAAACCGAAAATGTGAGACTGTGTAACGTGACAGATTAAGTAAAAATAATGATGAAGACACTGCGAGGAAAATGGTAGTTAGCGCAACATCCGCCGTTTCTACTTTCGCAAGTAGAGTACGTTCCTAAATGATCAGACGCAACGCGAGGCGAAACCACCCTGCAGAACGAGCTGCCGATCGAAATATCGTGCTGTTGACTAATTGTTCGTCCCAAACGAGCAACTTTCCCGATTTCTCGCCATTTCACAATTAAAAAATATCTCGGCGATGAGTAGGTGCGCACGGTGAGAAAGCAAACCCGATTCTGCAACAGCTCGAAACGGTTCTCCAGATGGTTGCATGGCTAACGACGAGTTCACCAAGGCCTCGCGTCTTTCATTGATTAACGACTGATTATAATAAATGACACTGTACATCAATTACGACCCCCAGATGTTGGAAGTGGAAGATATCGATCGAATTCTGCCAGTGGCTAATGATTAGCCGCTAATCCCTATCTATTTCATACTCTAACTCTCCTCCGAATTGCCTGATTCATGATTGGAAGATTTTTATTATAGAAAAGTAAAAACTGATATTTGTGAAATATTTAAAAACTACTTCCTTTTTATTATTACAAATCCTAATTAAATGGATCTTCTCGAATATGTGGTGGAAGTCGGAATTGGCATACTTTTATTAGATAATGGTAAATATGGATCGCGTAGTCAATAAATCATGTTGCAATGCTCGATAGAGTAAAAAGGGAGAAAAATAAATGAAAGAATGGAATGAAGAAGGTGGTGGGTTTCCTTCCTCTTCTAGCTTTCTCGATACACAATCGATTTTATCGACATCGAAAATTACACATTACGTTCGAGACTCCGACGCCGTTCTATGTAAAAAAAAGCTACGCGCATCACGTAAAAGTGTGTCACTCGCGCATCCTTACGTTTTAAACGATTCGAAAGGAATGCCAGAAGAAAAGAACGTCTGACCCCTTTTTACCGTTGAGGAACTTCGCTCACGGAAACGAATGTTATCTTAGAACATGACTCGTTATCATTGTCACCATTGATAGTCCCACGTGCGCATTATACGCTAACAGCTTATAAGCGATTACTCGATGCTTTCTATACTTGCTACGAGTTTTCTCTTATCGCTACCAAAATTGCGCATCCAGATCTGTTCTATTTCTTTTTCGAAAAATTTCAATTTTATGCTAATATCTTCGCGTTTCCCTCGTATCTCACGTTTCTCTGGCTGACTTTTCGGCTATGCGAATTTCTTTACCCTCATACATGGTACAACTAGTAGCGAAGTAAATTGGTTGTAACGCGATTAATTATTACAAAGTAGGTATCTGAGTGCTCGGACATAATTGAACAGTACGCGGATACGCTGCTATTACCCGAATTTAATTACAAGGATTGCATTAGCGAGCAATTTCTTAGGAATCTTCTTTAAAAAGTAACAGACTCTCGAAAGTTTCTCTTTATGATAAATGTCAGTGAAATTGCGTAGGAGTTCAAGGGTGAAGTCCTCGATAAACACGACTTGACTGACCCTCGATTATCAAAAGTTTCACAAACATCCTACTTCCTATTTTAAGAGAACGTACAATGACGATTGAACATAAGACGAAAATGAAAATATTACAAACCGTGTTAGTGAAAGATTGTTTTATTCGCTACAGGGGTTAACTAATCGTTCGTGACTGTCAAACAACTTCATTTCTTAATTGGCCAACGCACAAGGTTGAGAGCAATTTACTCGTACTTGCAACTTTCCTCGACGCAGCCACTATGTAATTTACTCCAGTCATAAACTATCTCTAGTTCTTGTCACGCTTGCCGTAATTTTAATTTAATGTACATAGCATGCGCGAAGCAAACCGACAGAATCTCAATATTCTCTTGCATGAACGTGTTTTATTATCTAATTTCGCAAACTAAACGCCGTGTTGACTTTTACTTGAAGGATTGATTCACATATCAGATATAAAATGCATATTAATATGCATATGAAGCATGCATTCACGAAATCGAGGAATAATTAGTTATTTCTTATCGATTGTACATGTATGAGTTTATTGTAAATAATTTCTCCAAGGTGATGATAGATAAAGAGGAGACTAACACGGAACTATAATGAAGCTCACAGGTTGCCTGTTGCATGGTCAAATACCTGACATCGCGTAACCCTTGGGAGAATGTCCGAACGCGAACGAAACGCGTCGCTTGTTATGCAACAAGCGTAAATATTCAGCACAAGGTCGCTGGACCGTTTTCAATCCTAACCGGACCAGCTTCGCGTGTGCTGACGCGTAAAAATCGAAACGGTCCACGGAGAAAACGTACACGCGATCCTCCCAAATTATTTTAAAAACCAGGCCGTGTCCTTCGCTAAATCTAATCGCTAATTTCATTTAACAACGGAAATCTGCTTGTATTATATCTCTCAAATTAATTGTTCTTAAATATTTGCGAAAATTGAACGATGAATGCAAATTAATTTAATTGACATTTTTATACTTACATGTAATATTAATATATGTATTATATATATGTACTTTTCCTGTAGAACTTGCAAATTGATAATAAACATTGAAAGATATGGAGGATACATTATTTGGCTCGAAAGAGAAATTTTCTAAATTCCGTGCATTGTACAGCAGAAAGTCTATGATACAAAATCTGGTTACAAAGTAAGTTTCACGTCAATAAAAGAGTGGACAAAAATTTTACAAAATTAATATTTGCCAGAGACTAATAACAGAAAGTTCCTTGTTAGTCTAATTAAGTCGTCCTGTAAGAAGTTTGGAAATCACCTCCACAATGTTTTTAGCAATAAAATCCCGGTGAAAATGTATCGAAGAAGAAGTTACGTTCTTTAACCATTGTAGAATATGTCCTCGTTTGTGTTAGAAGAAAAGAATTCTAAATATATTAGAATAAAAATATTCTACGATTTAGTTGAAATTTCAATAACGCAATTCTTAATCTACGAATTTGCTGCATTTTTAAATAAATTAAATGTGCAGAAACATACAGAACATGAAAAGTTTGATATAAATCTTATTTCCAATTTGTTTCATTTTTCAAACTGACATAATGAATGTTTTATCTTGCATAAAAATAGTGTAATTAACGATGGCCTTCGATGCCGATCGACGCCGACGCAGTAAATAGAGAATTACTATTGTAAGGTTGAACACGTGGAGGTAACGGTTAAGTATCAGTGAACTTGAACTTGCAACAACGTTAAGGTGAACAAGTTACGAGAGATAGAATACATTGATCTCGATTGAAAAAAACTGATTTGAATCATTAGCAATCCGCCGTAACTGTACTCGCATTCCGCCTTCCTCATCGATTCTTGACCAAGGTAAACGTCTTCTACATCTTATCGAACGCCACGCGCACCGTCTGTATTTAATTAACAGAGCAAAACACGGAGAAAGGATTGCCGATTGCCTTTTTAAACACTACTGACCGAGTAGAGAAGACTCTTCGATGGAAAAGATTTATTAGATCGACGTTAAACTTTCGAGATCCGCAGAATTTATTCGCATTAGGTGCGGCGTATGAAATGTTTCGTTTCTAAAATTGAAAATCGTGTATCAAATGATATACACGATGTATGTCTCTTTGAATCGAACAGTTCGTATGTGGTAAATGAAAAACGTGGTTGAAGTGGCAATCGGGGACACCTGTGGAGCTAGTACCGTTCCGGTGAAGGCGCGTATTGTGAGATGAAAGTGAGAAGTGGAGAGTCGGTGTCGGCTATCTTCAACGGGGAACGTGGAAGTGTCATTCAGAATCCATAGATCGGTACCGTTAAGTTTATCTCAGTCTAATAGAATGCTATAAACGAGTTTGGAAAACCATGTGCGCTTGAGATATTAACATTGGTACCCGAAACAAGATAACAGTTTTCAGGTCAAATGAAATTGATGAAACAAGTTCATTACTTTCTCAAGTTCGCGTGAATAATACTCGATGCTAACGTGATACAATTCGATATTTAACGATCTAACGGACGATCTATTGTAAAGAATTTTCATGAACTAAAGTAGGCGACCATGAATTTTCTCTTGAAGACAAGAAAGTAAAAAGCCTGAAGCGGAATAAAAAAATAGGCCAGCAGGCGTCTGGTGATAATTAATTCCGTAGAATAGAAATTTCACAAAAGACGATTTATATGGGATGATAAGTGAGCAAGTGTAGATTTTATGGGCAAGGTTAACGGTGAGAAGAAACAGGGAAATCGATGACGGATTAATAAACGTGATTGGAAACTCGCTGACCGACTATGATAACCTGTGATTATGAAGAAATAAGAAATGATGTAGATATGGCTAATTGTGAGTACTGAACAATCTTTGGAAACTCGGAGGAATCTGTTTTTATGTATCGCTCGATTCCTGATGCTGAGGGGAAATTAATAAAGAGTTACGTTGGGCATCACTATATCTTGAAAGTCGTGAGCAAACGATCGTTTAGATTATAGTAAAAACAACAAATTGACTAACAGTAGTTTTACAGTAATTAAAA